ATTTGAATACCTATTTAATGTGTGTCTGTCAAATACTTATCTAACGCATTTTTCAAACGTTTGTTTTCTAGCTCTTGGAGATGAAAAATAAGAGGATAAAGCATCAAAAATGTAATACTTGCAAAAAAAGGTTTGGAATGTTGCATCACCGGAAAAGACACAAATTAATTCACACTGGTGAAAAACCTTTTATGTGTGATATTTGCCAGACGAGACACAAGGATTTATCAAATCTTAAGTGTCACAACAAGAGTTGGCATTCCGACATAAGGCCTTACATTTGCGTGATTGATGAATGTCAGGAAAAACCAAAATCCTTTAAAAAGAAATGTCATTTTAAAATGCATTGGTGGGCGCACTGTGGAATAAGATTCAAATGTGACCTATGTAAAAAAACCTATTCCACAAAAGGCAATGTGAATAGGCACAAAAAACATGTAATGTTTTGCCTAAGTATAATAAATGAAAATGTGCTTAATTTTATTGAATTATTGTATCTTTATTCATCCATTTACTATTATTTTGAGCAGATCATGAGTCAGGATAAAGGTTGAGTATCGTGGGATGACTCTGTTTTATACTGTTCTTCAAGAATATCCAAAAAGTGTATTAAAACTGATCCAATCTTCATAACATTTATATAAGTAGTAATTCTTTTTACTCTGGTAATTTTCTGACATTATAACAGGTATAACATTATAAAGGTTATAAACCAATGCTTGCCTACTATAAAATGTATTTTACGCCACTGTACTGTATTATACCGTATAGAACCTTGCACCACCCGAAATTATTTGAAATTGAACACGGGTTATAAAACCATTGTTAATTATGGAATATGAATCATTAAAAAATGGTTTAATTGAAAAAATGGGCTAAAAGGTTAGAAAACATTTAAAAAACACAACATTGTTATACTGCTAAATTATAATATATTACTATTTTAAATGAATTTACTCCGTAAATAAATAAATATATAAAATAAATACAAGAATTATTTTAGAATCATTTTAGAATTGTTCTACCAATTATGATGTACCATATGTCCTTAGTAACTAGAAATAATTTATTATAAAATACTTTAATCACAATTCATGTTTCATAGCAAATTATATTCTTAAAAGTATATTAAATAAATTTTCTTAATACATTTTGGAATAAATTAGGATTTGAGTAACCATATTATTTGCCAACTAGCGTATATCTACTAACTTTTTGGTTCTACATTTTTTACTTCTTGTAAGTACTATTTACAAAGATTAGTAAAACAAAAGTTGTATAAACAAAATTATTTAACCTTTAAAAAGTTCAAATAAACATAGGTATGAGGGTAACTGTTTTTTATGTTGAATTTTTAATATATAAGTATAGAAATAAGTATAAAACTATACTTAATACGTATATAGCTTATAAATTATAATAGTAAAATTCATTTAAGTAATTTCTAATACCTGACTGCTAAATAAACATGATTAAAATTATATTGTATATTTTTAATTTTTATATTAATACTATTTATAATATTTATAATATATTATTGGAGAGCCATTCTATACTAGTAAAAAATTAAAAGTTGATATACTAAAAATGTATAAATGTTAATTAGCAATAAGCCGATAAATATGATATTAAATCATAATAATGTTCGCAGTATGTTTATTAATTATTATAATCGCTGTATTCTTTTACTTCATTATTTGCATACCTAAATGGATAATACTTAATTAAGTTAATTAACTCTTTAAAACTCCATAATATATTAATATATATTGGTCAACATTTAAAAATAATATATTGAAAAAAACAAATTATTAGATAGTTACTGTTACTATATTATATTCTTTATTTTGTCATTCTTTGACTCTTTGTACAAAACAAAATATTTCAAATATTATTTCTTATTAATAATTTTATGAATTGACTTCTTTAAATAGTTCATCTATCTCATTGTCTGAAGGATACATAATACTAGCATCTTCTTCTTTTACTGCATCATTGAAGTCATACGACTCTTCATTGGTAGTATTTAATATTTCAATTTTATTTTTATTTAGTTTGAAATCTTGTTTAATTTACAAACTGTGCTTGATGTATACGAGTTTTTATTTTATTTTATTTCTAATATATATACACAAATAATTGTAGAAACTTGAAATTTACGATTATGTATTCTTATTATTTTTTAAGTGCCATTGTAGCAATATATTAGGAGTACATTGAAGCTTATTCACACAAAAATACAATTTTATTGACATTTATAGAAAAAAAAAAAACGAAAAAAATTGAAAATTGCAAAATACTTTTAAAATATTTGAATTATTTTGAAAATTGTATAGAGTATAGAAAATGTCAATATAAACAGTCAGTGAGAATTGCATGTAACTACGATAATTTTTTTAGTCTTACACCGACACCCAAAATCGATTTTTCGAAAAATTACCGTTTTTTATTTTTTATTTTTTCTGGCGCTTTTGAAAACTACTGGAAAATTGAGATTTTGACCTCTCAAATGCACCAATTATTACTTTAGGACATTTTTTACCTATTTCTCGTACCATGACTAAACAATTGACCTCATTGAATATAAGTACTACCTACATAGTAGCTTAAGTAGGTACGTACGTAGTATAAATTTTCATTACAGTGCAATGCAAATTTTTTTATTTAAAATTTTTTTTTGCACAGTATATAACAAATATAACTTCGTTTTTAATAATAATTTAAATTTATTTAATAATGAAGTTTTTGAAAGGCCTTTTTTTTATACTTTTGGCGCATTTTTTAGAGTTTTTAGGTCATATACGCATTTTTTTAAAGGGATTTTTTTTATATTTTTAGAGCATTTAAATCTGAGCCCTATTTATTTCTTATACAGACTAAGCCTAATAGTAAAATAAATAGGTAAAAATTGGTAATACAAATTGGCCGACAAACCGTCTTCGCTCAGAATTGTTTTAATATATGATATAATATCATTGAATTAAAATTGAATGCCTTTCACTAAAATAACTAACTTATAACCTACTGTACAGCAGAACTATAGCCACGTATCGACATTTTTTATTCAATCAATATTTTATAAAGTTATAAATTGTTGTAGGTAAATTGTATTGGTCAAACGCCATCAACTTCTTCGAGTACAACAAATTCACAAATTATACTGGAAGATAATTTCCAAAATAATGTGACATCAGTACTCTTAACTCCTCAAAAACAGCATGAAAATGACGAGTTGTGTAATGATGACCAATGGGCAAAATTAGGGGGCAGACGTATTGTAGATCTCAAACATATTTTTCAATCTTTACAGTCCATACAACACTTGGGATTTGATTGTTCATTTAGAGATTTAGAGTTTGTGAGAGAAAATAGAAAGGGATACTACTGTAGTAAGCCAGTTACTACGGAGTAATATCAATTTCATAAATACATATAGTTATTATTATAATATACGATGGATCGGCATAACCAGGTAATAAGACAATTAGGGATCAGGAATAGGCGTTGTAACATTTACAGAAACACTACCAATTTCACGGGTGCATAGTTAGTTTAATATACTGTAGAACGGCCTAAAACAAATATTACAAGAAAGTGGTTAGGTCTCCTTATGTTAAATATAATGAGACAAAACCACTGAATACTCAGGACGAGGGGTTCAAAAATAGGCGTATATAATATTTTACAGAAACACTGTACACGACAAATTCAAATAAAAAAAAGAGTAAAATGATTATTTTAATAATAATCATACTTTGGAAATGCAGTCAATCGCAAATGCGTGGGCTGGGATGATGAGCACACAAATCACATCCGTGAGAACCGAGATATCCGATATCGTATATGTAGGCAAGGGGTACGGGGAACCTCATATATAAGGGAGCCCGAATCGGCCTGTATTCAGACGTGTACTACCACCCATTAGAGCAAGCACTTTCACGTCACTTTGTACAATATTATTTTGGACTTAGAAAAATTATCGAACAATATAATAAAATTCACAATACATAACACCTGTCTTGTATTTCAATTACCTATCTACCACGACTACAGCATCAAATAAAGTGTCTGCGACCTGCAACTATAACATCTTGGTAGCCACTTATCTACTGTCAGCACTACGATAGTAGGTACCCAAAGCACCAGATCGTTACACTACAGTACATTTCAGTTTAATTGTAAAGTGTGTGGTTTAAAAGAACAAATAGATAGTGAAAATGTTAAAGGCGAAAATGTTAACATTAACATGGCAATAGTAAATACTACTGTAAATGCTGGTCAAGCGTACAGAAAGGTATAGAAAAAAAAAAATTAAAACTAAAAATGTCCGTAAACAGCTCAAAAAGAGTCAAAATATTTTAAAAATTATATGGTGTATAGGAAATACCTATTTATATCTTATTTCTTAGTGCTAATAGTGTTAAAAGTCCATGTAATAGACGTATACATATTTATTATCGTACGTTTTTCATCAATTGCCCTGTAGACTTGTAGTTATCAGCAATAATGCGGCATTATAACCTTCAAATCTACGTATTTAAATTTATTGTTCGAAATTTCGACGCCATTTTATTATCTCAAAATATTAAAATATACAAGATACGCAATATTAATTAAGAACACGACAACACGTCTTTCTGGTACTCGAATGCATCAAATTAGATTGTGATGTCAAATTACTGTTGAATGTAATTACTATAATTTAATAAAACATAAATTACATAAATTACACGATGTTCTAGTATGGCATTTTTTAAAATGTTATCTGTTTTTGATAATTAATTATAGATAACAACGAACTAATCGTGAAACTTTAAATTTTAATTGAGTGTTGTCGAGTGTTTCTCTTTCTATTGAACTATACATCACTCCTTTCGATCATTAGTTAACTCTTATTTGCCTACAATATAATAATAAATAGTAGTACTCTAAGACTTTTTAGAACTCTCAAGATTTGGTTTCCATCCTTAGCCGTTTTATTATTTCGGTCTTGTAAAAAAATGGGCGATTCCAAAATTTTAAAGTAAGTAACTTTAGATGAACTTCTCATGGTCAATATTTAATTGTATTAATTTATTTTAGACCTGGATCCATCGTTGGATTCTGTAATCCATTATTAGACATGACGGTTGTTGGAGATCAAACTTTGTTGGATAAATATGATCTGAAAAATAACAACGCTATCTTGGCTGAGGAAAAACACATGCCTCTCTACGAGGAATTGTTGAATAATAAAAATATCGAATACACCGCTGGAGGCTCAGCTCAAAATTCTTTGAGGGTTGCTCAGGTATTATCAATGTTAAACCAATGTACTTAATCATTTTTATTCTTATTAAAAAAAAAAAAATGATTATTTAGTGGGTTCTAGAAAAACCTAACTTAACCGTGTTTTTTGGTGCGGTTGGTAAAGATAAATACAGTGAGATTTTGAAACATAAAGCTAACAGCGAGGGAGTTGATGTTAAATACCAATACTCGACAGAAAAACCCACTGGTAAATATTAAATTAGTATTTTTAACTTCTAGAAGCTTTGTGGAAAATAAATATATTTAAACATTTTATTCAGGCACCTGTGCAGTTATTGTCACCAATAATGGCAAAGATAGATCTTTGTGCGCTAATTTATCGGCCGCCGAGACTTTTACTGAATGCCATTTGGATGTTCCTGAAAACAAAGCTATAATTGAAAATGCAAAATTCTACTTAGTTACCGTAAGTTCAATTTAGGATTACAAAGCCTTAATTCAATATTAAAATATTTGATTTTATATATTTTGTAAGTTGTAACACTACTATACTCCATTCCACGAGAGAACGTACATGTACCAAATTTCTCCCACTCTTTATCACTAAGCGACTACGTATGCAAGGAGTCGTTGCCGACCAAACGGGCAAAAATGGTGGGGAATGCACAGCAATGGACGAAAAAATATGTACATTCTCTCATTTTTCACTGGTCACAATTTGAATGTACCTTATTTTATTTTAAACAAAACTATATAATCATATCAAATTTAGTTTACTAAAGTTCATAACTGTTAGGTTTAAATCTAAGAAGGTTTCTACAAACAAACAAGGTTTTAATCCTCTTTTTCCAGTCCATTCTATTGTAGTTTGTGATTTTTATACAAATTATAAATATTTTTTGGGTCACTGCCCCCCACCCCCCTGTAAAAATTAAATATAAATATTAAATAATATTATGTTATATATAATTTACCTAGCTTATTTAAGTATTTCATTATTGAATTGTATTCTAAGCATAACCTCTAACTAATGGTGAAATTATAATTTTTTTTTTTTAGGGTTTTTTCTTGCAAGTCAATGTAAAAGCTGTTCAAAAAATTGCTAAGATTGCTTTTGAACGAAAGTGTCCATTTTTATTCAATATGAGTGCTCCATTTATTTATCAATTTTATATGGATTCAGTTATGTCAATTTTTCGTTATGTTACTATTGTAGTGGGAAATGATGAAGTTAGTAGCATTTAATTCACCTTTAACTTAATTCTAATATAATATTTATTTTATTTTAGGAAGCCAAAGCATTTTCAGATGGACAAAAATGGGATTTAACTAACATTGAGGAAATCGCATGTAAATTAAGTACTTTCGAAATTGAAAATGATGGACATCGTTTAGTTATTATAACTCAAGGCGAAAAACCAGTTCTCGTTGCTAAAGGTATATTTTAATTAAAATAATATAATACTTTCTTGAAATGGTTAAATTTAATTTGTCATACAATGTATGTGTGGTCATTAAATCCAGTAAAACTAAAAAAATTAATTAATTATTTTGACTTTTGATTTCTTAGATGGAGTTATCACAAAATATGCAGTGCCTAAAATTCCAATAAGTAATATTGTTGATTCAAATGGTGCTGGTGATGCATTTATTGGTGGTAAGATTAGTTTTGATCAACAAAAAAATGTAGTTTATTTTATATATAGGTATTTTAAAAAATATTTTTCTCCTAGGTTTTATTAGCAAATATATTTTGGAATGTCCAATTGAAACCTGTATAGAAGCGGGAATTAATGCAGGATCATATATCATACAACAACCAGGAATAACAAAAGGAGATTCATTCAAAATATAAATATGTTTATGTTATAACAAGACTTGTTACAGTAAAAGTAAAATTAGTTTTCATACAAGAAATTTATTTTACTGATGCAACTTCTTAATTATATAACAATATTTTTTATTTAACATTATTCTTGTATTATGATTATGATACTCAAATAAATACATTTGGAATAAGTTTTACTATTTACTTCACTCATAAAGTAAAAATGTATTATATTTATAACATTATTGTGAAAACATTGCAAGAATATGATATTTACAAAACAATATAATACATTTAAGTCCATAACTGCATCACTGAGACATGATAAAAAAAAAAATATTAAGAAAATAATACAAAACATTTTTAATTTTTACCTAGAATAATGTTAACCATTATTTAACTGTATTATTATTTTTTTAAAGCTATGCAACTGAGTTTCATCTAATCCAATATCATTAGCGTACATACCAAAATTCAATGCTAGCATCACAGCACAAGTCTTAACGTGTGTTTTCAAGTATTCAATTTTTTTGGTATTTTGGTCGTTAAAATTTCTTTGTTGGATGTCCAGTTGATTTTTCAAATCTAAAATAGTGCTAACTATTTGCCCGAGTTGTTCTCTGACTACACCATACTCGTCCTCCTTTAATGAAACTACAGCCAAATTTGAAAGTATATAACAGCACCACACTGTTGCTTCAAATTCTTCTAATAATTTATCTTTATCCAATGGTCCAAAAAAGTAGTTATACAGCCAGAATTTTTCAAAAAAATATAAAAATATGCTATGTTGAGTTACATTTTCTTCTGATGGTTTGCTAATGACACTACCATTAATGTGTATTAATCGGGCGTTGGTTATATTGCGTCGATTGATTAACTTGAGTGGTACATGGTTGACTAATTTTTTCATGTCTCCTGTGGTGGATTTTATATTATTTATACAATAGTTAAATATAATTTTCCAACTCTGAGGAACACTTCCCGCAAAACTTAAGCTAAATATGTCTTTTCTTCTTTCTGCATCTTTAATTGTAGCTTGATAAAGATCATATAGAGCTAGTGATTTTATAATCTTATTATCAACATTCAAAGCATTAAGTAAATTATTATTGTCTTGATTTATCGTCACAATTGGAAATATAACACGTTCAGTCATAGTTAAGAATATAATGTGTTCAAATGAATAAAACAAGTGTAAGACTAATGATATTGAAAACCATAGAATCATAAAAAAATAAACATTAGAACACAATTTTGGTTCAATCACATATAACGGAATAAATATGAAAAATAGATACAAAAATGATTTTTTCAACGATTTAAATAAAATCTCCGAGAGTTTAGACATAAACATTGAATATTTTGTAGTTTGAATAATCGGAAAGTGAAAATCTTGTTCAAAGTAAACGTTTTCATAATGGAATAAAACGCCAGCCAGAGCACATCCAACATTGAGTAAAAGCCAAATTTTTTCATCTTGAGAGAATGGATTTATACTTGACAGAGACCATGCGCTGACTGAAATCAAGGCTGCCGGTAACACGGTTTGAATTGATAATCCTTTGACAATTTTGCTAAAACGGTTTGTACAAGGCACATCTGTTCTCACATATCTGCGTGAGCTGGTTAAAATGAACAATAACACAGCTACCAATACTGCCGGCACGTACAATAATGAGTACAAGTTGAATGTGAAGCTGAGAATCGACCGAAGCGATAATAAGAACGCTATTACATACGTGAATAATAAAGAACTTAGTATAGATTTAAATATCCTTGTTAAAAAAATGTTTGAATTGGCCGTCATTCTGTCGGTATTTTGTCACTTAATTCAACAGAACATTTCTTTATACTCGTTATAATATATTTTTTTAACGTTATTTTTTTAGTAATTTCAAATAATAAACAGAACCTTAATAATAAGTAATACTTTAATATTGTGTTATACTTAAACTCAACCGTTAAAAAATTAAAATTTAACAGCGAACATTCGAGCAATACAAAACATGCCGACACATTCAAATTTCAAGATTGGTATCATACTATCATCATATTTTCATCTTATATTATCTAAAAACTGAGCAATTTCGACAGCGATTGGCTACTTTTGAATATTTCACCGGTGTTTTAAGGTTACATTTATACCGCGTTACTCAATTATTATACCATTGCAATACAACTTCAAAGATGTAGTAAATGGCATTTTATTATTCGAAAATGTTTTGTTTATGGCGTTTATGCAATAAATATGCTGACTTTATACTTTATAGTCGACAGACAATTACAATTAATATAAATTATAATATACAATTTAAATTGACGGCTGGTCTGACCGAGTTCTTATTATGGACCAATGGACTATGGTCATAGCTATTGGCTAGGTCAAAGGACTTGTAGCATTTGAATATTTTTTTTGTACAATGTACAGTCAAAAATATTTTGGTGGAGTACGAAACAAATACATTTCCTGCTTTCAAAGTTTATTTTCCCATATTATATGAGTATTTTGAGTTATTTTGTTTTTAGGGCATATTGTCTGCCAGGGTTAAACTTGTTGAGACATTATTTTTAATGACAGAATAATGGTATAATTTTTTTGCACTGACATTGTGTATTTCCACTAACACAACTAAAAATAAATTTCATTTGTAATATTGTTGATTAATTATGGTGTTAACTGGCAGGCGCCGGTTTTTCCTAGTCTCTTGGAGAAGCCTGATTATTTGTATATATGTTAATGTAATTTAATACTTAAACTTTAAAGTAATAACCGCGGAACAAATAAAACTAATGTCAAAATATATAAATCAATTAAATAAAATACAAAAAATAAATACTAGTAATCTTGTTTTTTATTTTTCAAACTGCACATTTAAAGACTTTTTGGTGACTCTTTAGTTTATAAGACTACAAGTTGTAATGGCACATGCACAAACTCCGCTGAAGTACATTTTTCGCTACGCCAACCGAAAATTGTTATAAAAAAAAAATTAGTACATCGCTACATTATGTATATGGTATTATTGTACGGAGTAGCGACGCTACGTTTGATCGCCCACTGGCTACTACCATTGTTCTGAAACTAGGTACCTACTAAAGTAGTAAAGTAGCGTCGCTATTCCCGACCACTGTAAACGTATTCTTAATAATACAAAAATACATCATGAATAATGATTCATAAAATAATTACTATAATATAATTATTAAGGTAGGTACAAGCAGGTATTGTTCTGAGCATGATAAAATTAAATAATAGTTATTTCTATAATGGTTATTGTACCTTGTACTCTTAGATCATATACTAATATACTATAATATACTAAATATATTATATATATACAACTGCATAGTATAATAATCGAAGGAATGATAGATTGCACAAGATCAAGAGGAAGACCTAGGACGAGATACATTAGTCAAATAATGCAGGATGCAGGAGTCACTTCCTACAGGGAACTTAAGAATTAGCGAATGAGGAGAAAAATGGAGAAGTCATTATTATTTTACTGTAAAACATTTTGTTAAAAAACCAATCTCCGGATTGAAAAACCAAAAAAAAAACTATATATATGATCTAAGCTTGTACCTAATAACTTCGTCTCAGTCCTCAGATTTCTTAAGTCAAAAGATTAGAAGAATAAAAAATGTTTCAAGCTGATAAGGGGAACTAGTTTACTGAAGAACTAGTTGATAACAATTTTTTTTTGGGCGTACCCACGACTGCGTAACTTCATTTTTTTTTGTTTGAACTCCAAGGTCCAAGGATGTAATCATTACTGTACGCATCAAGCCATTAACTCATATCTCAAATTCTCAAATGAAGTCAAAATCAAATGTATTATAACTATAATATTACCTGTTGAATTGTATTTACTATTTTAGTATTCATTATTCTCGATTCTCTTGTGCATGATGTTTAAAAAATGTGTTAATTTTTTTTGAATGATATTAAATAAACAGCTATATTGTTCTATTATTTTTTTTTTTAATATGCATATCTTACTAAAATTCATTTTAACAGCATTTTGTCTAGCCTCATGTAAGTTATGTGTATTTTAAATGTTATTTCTGTCAACAAAAATATCTGATATGAGTAGTGCCCCATAGATGACAACTTAAATTATTTTTGATTATACATTTAAATTTCTGATTAATAATTAGTCATTAATAAATGAATGATTATTGATTATATTATTATAATTTTAATTTGTTTATTTAAAACAAAAACATCAACTTTATTTATGAAGAATTACAATCTATTGCCACGCTATCGGTTATTTGTTTGTACATTTATTTCAGACTAGATAATATTATACTTCCATAATACTATATTTCAATTTATTTATATTTTACTTAATATACTGCTTTGGGTAAATTTAAATTACACTTTGAATAGTAAACTTTCAAATGCTTTTAATGATAGGTACATAATATGTACTTTAAAAATATCTAAAGCAAGTTGGAAATGTATTAAAATTTAAAATATACCTAATTAATTATATTTGGGATTTATAATTGTAGTGTGTGGAAGTTATGAACTTAACAAGGTAAACACGAAATGTAATATTCCATTGGTAATTCGTGGGCAGTGGTATTCTTGGGAAAATGGACGCAGTACAACAACGGAAATTGATGCGACAAGTATGTCTAAAAGAGGAAATTGCATTCGATCAATGGAAGAAAACCAGGTAAATTTCACATTTGTATTTCAAAAGAGTGCTGGTGATTGTTTACTTGTGTCAATTTATGGTTCGGACTGTTAATGTATTGGATAAATGGAAAGTAAGTTACCTGTTAAAAAACAAATACATTTTTAATTTAATAAATTAAATTTTTTAATCTTGGAAATATTTAGGTGTTTGTATGACTTTAAATCCTAATGAGGATGAATCTCCTGATAAAATATGTCAATTCCAAGACACACAATTAAACACATTGTTTTCGGAAAATTATATACCTGTAAACTGTCGGTCCAGTCTTGAAGGCGTATGGCAATTTGCATACCAGGTATTATAACTAATGCATACATTTTATTTATTTTTTTTGTCAATTGGTTTATTATGACTATGAGACAAATATTGTTTAATATTTAATTTTAATTTTAATTTTATAGAACCGTTTTCGTTTTACTGGTGAATGTAATAATCCTGAAGCACAAATTAAATCTTGTCAAACGGCAGGAACACAGTTTTTAATAACTAATCAAAAATTTAATATAACGTACAAAAAATGCCCTGGTATGACAGGCACTTTTGATGGAGGTAATTTCTCATATTTTTCTAATTGAATAAATAATACAGTACTTTCCTGTTATATGAGATTATGGCTATTATCCAAGACTGCTATTATTACAAATAAATTACAATATTATAAATATTTTAACATTGCTAGATAGGGGGCGTTATCAACCAAAAGCTTATTTAGTTGAATTTATGAGTCACCAGAATGTAAAAGAATATACCTACATTCACTGAAATTTTTTAAAATCTGTTAAAATCCAATTTTCCCAAATAGATAATCCTATGTAGGATAATATATTATATCCTACGAATGAATCATGTTAGCTAAAAAACATTTCAATTTTTTATAAATTCCATTTATTATTGTAAAAAACTTACCTTTTCAACATTTATAATAACATATTTTAACATTTTATAACATGTTAAAATACTAGACCAAGAAGTAAGGATGATTTGTTTAAAAAAAAAAAAATAGACTGATAATAGTAGAAAATTTGTCTTGCATAATAAGATTGTGACATTTCAAAAAACAAGATAGTCTCGTATATCGTAACGTACCAAAATATTAATTTTTTTTTTTGTTTTTCTAGTTGTTGAGTACAGTTGCTTAGGAGACTGGTTCGTAGACAAAAATCATTTCTTTGCTGTAGCTAATACTAAAGAATCTCGAAAAGATGAAAAATATCGATGTTTCTTAAAAAATCGAGATGATGATTTATATATTGGTGTGTCTATTACAGCAGAGTGCAATACTCTTCAGACGTAGAAAAAGTCCAGAGAGATTACATATAAATCCTGGTAATTAATTATTGAGCATTTAATAAAAGTTTTTCATTTTTGTAGTATTCATATAATTTATTTAGCTGACATTCGTATTATAATTTTAAAATTATTTATTCTTTGCAGTGAAAGCCGAAGTTGTGGAGGCAGGTTGCCGACTACCTCAAAATTTTAGCGGTGAATGGTAAAACACAGCCAATATGGATGCTGATGTAGTTATTAATGAAACTCATGTAATTGAAACATGGTATCCGATGAAGCACGATTTAGAAGAACAATATATGTATGTCGTGAACAAAGAGGATCTCGTTATATGATGGCACGGCTCACTGTTGATGGATGGTATAAATTATTTCAATTTTATAATATTTTAATGTCTTACAATGTTTTTTAATTTATTTTAATTTTTAAATACAGCCAAAAGGATTATGTATGTTTTGATTTTGTACCCAGACATCACAATATTATTCGTTATAGAAGAGGTATAGCATTTATTAGAGATAACTTCCATACTGTGTGCTCTTGGGTACAATTTCCCAATAAAGATAATTGGAAATATGATATTTTTGTCTGTAAGTATATATTTTTACTTATATAGCTATAAATAACTAATTATTTAGTCTTTGAAAGAGAAATATTAATCGTTGTGATAATATTTTCAGCCAAAACTCCAGTTCCCATAAGATGTCCAGTGGCAGGTAAATTCAACTTCACACAACAGGGTGATTTTTTGTTTGAAACTCGTATTCTTGGTGGTGTTACATTATCACCTCGTCCACAAATTACATGCAAGGACAAAATATCAGATTTTGCTGCTTGTGATGGTGATCAAAAAGAGATTACAATTGATGAATCATTTTGCCTTGATGTGGATCATCGTGGACAGCCTGTAGACATTTATAGTGATCCAGACTACCGATTACATTGCATAGGTTACTGGAAGGAAAATTTGAAGTCTTATTTAATGACATATGATCCTCTTGACGCTGCTAGTATGTACAGATGTTGGGTGTATCAACGAGCTGATCTTAACCGTGTACTAATGTCACAAGCTATAGGATCATTTTGTGATCTTAAACAAGATGCATTTAGTAATAACTTTACAGAAGGAGCCACTGTTGCTATTGAGATGACAGAATATGAACGTGAAAGTAAGTAGTTTTGTAGTAATGATTCTAGATTAATTACCTAGGTATAAATTTAATTTTTAAATTTTAGGAGATCAATGTCCAATGTATTTTGATGATGGCGCTAATCCATGGGTTCATTCAGACAACTATATACAAGTATTTAAATATGGTCGATCATCTACATTAATTGTTTCATCCAGTATGCTTTCAGTTGCCGTTCTCTTTACCATTCTGTTGTAAATTTTAATTGTTATGTCTCGCAGAGCTATAACTTACACTTTTAGTAGCTTTATCACATAGTTCAGATATAATTATTTATTCATTGTAAGATAATCAGTATCTTTTTTAAATATTGGAAGTTGACTATAATAATTGTATACACACTTTACTTGACTACCAAAATATTTTACTTTTAAAATTTAGATTTTTGTTACCATGCCATGCCCTGCACTTAATATTATTTCAGAACATAATTTCTGATGAAGGGCAATTTAGTATAAACTATAATTTTGATTTTGAGATTACATAAATCCCATTAATTTTTATTAGAATTCTGATTAGTAAATTCCAACAATTAACCAATTTATTACACGTGTATACAACAATTAATAATTTTAAAGTTTGTTAAATCACAAAATTGAAAATATAGATACATAATATATTTAATTACCTACATATTGTTGATAATATGATAGTTATCTTGAAAGCTATAGAGATAATACCTATATAAAAATACAAACTTATCTTGAGCGTTATACGATTGTACTTCACATCTGTTTTTAAACATTTTGTTTAATAATAATTAATCATTGCAATTTTATATGGTTATTATTAATTTTAATATATTTAATGATATAGAACAAAATGTAATGAACAAAAACTGACTGTTCATTATGTAATTATTGTTATTCTGATTGTATAAAATGTAGTTTTAAATATACAATAACTTAAATCTTACAATAATTGATTTTGTATTGATAAAAATAATTTTATTTTATACTTTTATGAATAGTTATTAAAATTAATTTACAATTTATTTTAAGAAATATAATTGTGATAAATACAAACGATCCGTCCAATTTTGTGTCCATTACATGGTAAATTGTATAATAAAAAAAATTATGTTTAATACATTTATTTTTATATAAAACATTTATTTTTTACAAATTTTTAATTTATTTAATTTTAGCTGTTATGAATATATTTAGTAACACTATATATTTTAAAAAGTATGCAAAATAATTTGTTGATTTTTATAGATTACATACCATTTTGATGATGGGAACTAAATTCTAATTTTTTATAACATCAGCTGTATGTAATTATTTTTATTTAAAATATAATTATAATTGATTTTTTTATTATTATATCACTGAATTAGTATCTATATTTTTGTCTATACATTTATTTACACTTAATTCAAGCAGAAAACCTATCAATCTTTTAAAGAACTAAAATATTATGAAACTGTAAAAAGAAAATCATTGTATAACTTAAGTAAGTTATAGATGATAAAAATGACATGGTAAATCCAACACAAGTATATAGACATGAACATTTATTAACAATAATCGTCTTTACTCCATATTGTACATTATTAAAACAATCAATTTAGGAGAATTATCATTTATTTAACAATATATCTACCTACGTGTTTTCAGAAAATCTAATCTTTACCAAACAAAAGAGCTATTTCTGGCTGGTCGACTCTGATCAACTTTTTGGCCACATTCAAATAGGCAGTGTATTTAACCGTGGTTGGTTCTGTGTCATGATGATAGTGTCCACCTTCTCCGTGCTTACCAAACAAATGAAAATGCTGAGGTCTCAAATCCAAACCCTGCAAAATTGAAAATATGAAAATGTCGGTATGACGTAGAGACAAGTACACAGAAGTTTATATTTTATAATACAATTTAACAAGTTTCATTAGTCATTACACAATGATTTGTAAATGTAAAAAGGTGGGCAAGTGGTTGTTGCTCTGCTGTACAGTAGGTTACAAGTGGGTCATTGTGATGAATGGGTACCTATTAAATTTGAATTTAATGATATAATATCATTGTATATGAAAAACGATTCTGAGTGTAAACAGTCAGTCAGTCTATGATATATTACTAAATATAATTGATAATATTATTGCGAATAAGGCAATGATGGAAAAAGTTTTTGAAAACGTTAATAAACGGAAAAAAATAAAAAACAAAATAATTAATAAACGAAAACGAAAAAAAATATCTGAAAAACGATAACAAAAAATCCCAAAAACCGAAAAAAATTTAACAATGAAATCAAAAACGAAAATAAATTATAGTATTATACATTATTAAATTATTTATACTACCAAAAAAAAAATTTTGTTATCGAAAAATTGATAGTTCTGATAATAGTTTACAATAAAATATATCAGTAGCATAGAACAATTAATATTGTAGTCCACACACACACACTGCAGTGCAAGTAGCGGTAAAATTCTATTTACTAGTATTTAATATACATTATTATTGTTTCAATGCGTAAGTGAAAAATTTTTATTTTGATTCTTAGATGTATTTTATATTTTAATTTTTTTTTACAATTGTAAGCATGTTAAACTTTTGAGTTCTGGATTATACGATGAATGTATTGATTTTACAATGTGTGTGTTTTTTTTTTATTTTTTTTTGTGTCTGTGTACACGAATGACTTGATTGGAAAGTGAATATCGTTGGTGCATTGGGGAGGTCAAAATTTAAAATTCCCAGTAATTTTCAAAAGCGCCAAGAAAAACAAAAGAAAAATTAAGGAAAAACGGGAATTTTTATGCAAAATCGATTTTTCACAAAATTGAATTTGGTTTTTGGCGTAACTTTAAAACAAATGATCGTAGGTACATGAAATTTTCACTGATTGTTTATATTTGCATTTTCTATACACGATAACAATTTCAAAATATTTTGATTTATTTGAAATGTTTAGGGACATTTTCATTTTCCATTTTTTTTAGTTTTTTTTCTAAAAATATCAATAAAATTTTATTTTTTGGTTAAAAAAGTTTGAAAATTTAATAGAAGGCTCCTAGTATATTTTTTCAAAAGCAGATGAAAAATATTAAAAAACCTTAGTCACGGTTTTTTTTTTATAAGCATTTAGAGTTAAAAAATTGACAAAATATGGAAAAATCACGAAAATTAGCAAATTATTTTGAGTTAAGAATTCATAAAACTTTTTCTTTTAAAATCTAAGATTTTCAAATGTAATACAAGATTCCTTATAAGATTATCTACCTTTATCAAAAAAAAAAAAATGTCAATAAGAAGGTAAAATTAAATAATTATGAGCGTTTGAAATTAAAATTTTCACAACATTGGATATTCACTCGATTTCTCATGTAGCGATTTCCTTATTTTGTTGTAATTCAAACACGAATAACCGTAGATACATGAAAACTTCACTGAATATTTATATTAGCATTTCCTATACACCATACAATTTTGAAAATATTTTGACTCTTTTTGATGTGTTTACGAACAATTACAATTTTCAATTTTTTTAGTTTTTTTTTTCTATAAATATCAATAAAGTTTTATCTGTTGGGCCAAAAAGTGTAAAAATGTAATACAAGTCTCCTAATATATTGTTACAATATCAGTTGAAAAATATTAAAAATACATAGGCACAATTTCTTTTTATAAGCATTTAAAGATCGAATTTTGACAAAATTTATCAAATTTAAAATTGAATAATTATTTTGTGGTTAAAAATTTATAAAATATTCAACTTTTATATCTAAGGATTGAAAATTTAAAACAAGATTCCACGTAAGTAGTTAATTTTGTTACCAAAAAATCTAAAAAATACATAAGCAAATTTTATTTTTATAGTCATTTTATGTTCAAATTTGGACGAAATTACATAATAAAAAACCTAGAATAACTATTTTAGTTATTTTGTTGTGATTTTATAATATTATTCGTGGGTACTTGAAGCTTCTAAAGTACACTATTATAGTATCCGGGTTTGTTGTTGATGTATATAACGCGTTATAAGTACCTATAATGAATGTTGTGTTAAGATTAATTTGGAATTTATTATAGGTACCTATTATAGGTTAATTTTTTTTAATAGCAACTTTTTATTATTTACCCTAGAAATCTGAAATATTGTTTTACTTTAGTCCTTAAGACTTAAGTCTTTACTTTTTAATCTTCACCAATGTACTTTTAAAATTTAAAAACATTTCAATGTTAAATCAGAAATTTTAAATTTTATAATATTTATATAAATTATAATTTTGATTTAAAATTAAATATTAAGAATAATTAATTTTAACTTTTAACTTTTAAGTGCATTTCAATATTGTGCTTTACTATTATAACTTAAAAGTTAATAGTTATAAGAATATATTATATATAAAAAAAAATAATAAAAACGTTAAACAAAAACAATATTTTTTAAATCTATAAACAAAAACGAAAATTAAAAAATTAAAAACGTTTTCCAACCCTGGAATAAAGTAATTTATTTACCTATTTATGTGGAACCTTGTTTTAAAATGTCAATCCTTAGCTATAAATTTGAAAATTTTATAAATGTTTAACTACCAAATCATTTTTTTAGATTTTAAATTATAAATTTGATAAATTTGGTCAATATTCGAAATTTAAATGCTTATAAAAAAAGTGTGTCCATGTATTTATAATATTTTTCAACCGCTATTGTAATAATATATCAGAAGCTTTGTATTAAAATGTCACGCTTTTTGACCCAACAAATACAATTTTACTAACAATTATGGAAAAAAATTTAAAAAATTGAAAATGTCCGTTAAAAGCTCATAAAAAGTAAAATATTTAAAAAAATTTATCAATCAAATCAAAAGAATTGATAAAAAATCATGTGATATCAATTTCAAGTATTTACAGTTATTTGTTTTTGAATTACAGTAAAATAAGAAAAACGGTAGGTTTGAGAATCAAGTAAATATCCAATCTTATACAAATTTGAGCTTCAAACGTTCATAAAAATTAAATTTGACTTTCAGCTAATTTTTTTTTTTTTTTTGATAAATGTAGACAAACTTATGAGGATTCTTGAATTACATTTTCAAATCTTAGATTTAAAAAGAAAAATTTTTATAAATTTCTATCAAAATAATTTGCACATTTTCGTGATTTTTACGTATTTTGTCAAGATTCGAAATTTAAATGCTAATTAAAAAAAAATTATGCCTTTGTATTTTTAATATTTTCCACTACTATTGTAACAATATATCAGGAGTCTTATACTAAATTGTCAAACATTTTGACCCAACAAATAAAATTAATAAATTGAGAAATAAATTTGAAACTTGTCCGAAAACAGTTCAAAACAAGTCTGCAACATATACGGTTATGGTGAAAATGTTATGGACTATGGTGTATAGAAAATGCTAATATAAAAATTCAGTCAAAATAACATGTATCTACGGTCATTTGTTTTAGAGTTAGGTACACCAAAGTCCAAAAGCCAAAATCGATTTTGTCAAAAACCACAAAGTTTTTCCATAATTTTTGTTTTGTTTTTAAATTTTGTCATCTCCCCCCCCCCCCTTAAAAAATTACTAACTAGATTCACTTTCCTATCAGAAAAGATACTGTTGCAGAAAATCTAAGCATTTTTACTGTCCTAAAAGGTGATGACAAAAACAAAAAAATAAAAAACCCACATCATTGTAAAATCAATATATTAAATGCTACGCTCAGAATATAAAATATATATTAAGCATAAAGTAAAGAATATATTAAGTAATTTAATCACCGGATCGTGAGAGATAAGGTAACCGAGAGCCACTAATGGCGTGGACACTTCGAAGAACTTCAGCCAATTGTTCAAATCGGTTTCCGACTCAAGCGGTATTTTTGAAAAATCAGGCATAACATGAACTTTTACTTTACTTGTTTCAATTAAAATCACTCCACCCAAACCTAAAAACAAATCAGCAATACTAAATGTCAGAATTCAATTTATTGTCAAAAAATATTTGTTATACTTATTATATAATAATTTACAGATAGGTTCTTACCGACTGGTTTGTCGCCAAAGTATTTTGCCAAGGCTTTTCTGATAGACGTCACAAAATCTAACGGGCCATTCCGAGTTTCGCACACTATTCTCAAAACCTAATGAAAATTGAAATGTACAAATGTAAAAAATAAAAACGTATATTTATTACGTCATACACATTACACTCACATAAAATTATATTTTTACATATTTTGTATCATTTTTACTTGTAAAGAAATCGTCTGTATTGAAGAAAAAACTCTTTTGCGTTTTTCAATTAAAAAAACACGCTATCATTTAGATCGACGATAAATCACACAAAGAAAAATACCCATAGTAAAAATGAAAGAGAACAATACTATGAACTTTTAAGTACACAATGAAGCATTTTGCCCCCTTATAAAATGTGATTTTTCACCAAGCATGCTCTACTCTATTTTTCATTTGACAATTCTCTAATCTATTTAAATTATAACTTTGAATTTTAAAGTATATCTAATAAAAGACCGAACTTTTAATTATTCTTATTATTTTTATACCGTTTAAATGTACTGTAAAAAAAAAATCGTACAAATATAAGTATATTTAGTATAGGTATTTAAATAGCTATACGCCTATACATTATAATTTATAATAACAATTTGTTATGAGGACCGTTGTATTAAATTTTAAAACTTTTCGACTCGGCAAAAAATGGATTATCGGCAGTTATACAGAAAAAAAAGTAAAAAAAAATTTAATTAATTTTAAATATAATAGCTCAAAAAAATCAAAATATTTAGACATTTATACCATTTATTGCTGGGGATGATTATTTATGAATTATTTACAACTAAATAAGAAAATCATCGTTTGATGATAAATCGTTGTTTTACGCTTGAATATCCAATTTCGTCAATATTTACGATTCAGACACTCATAAAAAGTATTTGTGGAATGAAGCTCAATTTCTTTTTTTCAATTTCATATTTTATACAAATCATACAATAATATAATACATGCATTTGTGTACACAGTACACAATATATAGGTTTATTACCTCTCCTTTCATACCTCGACTTGTGTAAAAATTGGCCAACAGCGCGAATCGCGTTTCGTCTTGAGGCAAACGGTGGTGCACTTGACTTCCAGTCTGGGGATCGACTTTGTAAAGGTGAGAACAATTATTATTGTTAACACTATCATCGGACGTCAATCGTACGTTTCCGATGAACTGAAAAAACGTAAAGTCACAGTTGTTAGTTTTTTGACTGGTCCTATAGACCCTAGTGCTTTACTAATATTAACAAATTATTTATATATAATATATTTATTTACATATAATTAAGCAATGATATAACTTACTTACTAATGAGTAATACCTAACTAATAAATAATAAAATATTATTGAGAATCGTTACATAAACTATTATTATATAATAGTATATCCAGTCTGTGCTAGACTATAGGTACTTGAGTGCAAATTAATGCCATTGACGTCATAAAAGTAAACACGTATAATAATTATTATGAGAACAATTGTTAAATATTAATATTTTACAGTTTTTTGGAGCCAATTCAAATATATACATTTTTCGGGAGCCAATTAGTCACTGTTTAAATATATTTGAATCCTATATTTTATACATTATACCTAATTGTTTGTTTTTACACAAGTCTTAAGGCCCATTTTATGATTTAGAAACAAATTGTCGGTATAGTAGGTTGTAGATATAGTATAGGTAGGTACCATGCATATTGATAAATAATATTTATTTAGGTACCTAAATAAGAGTTCATTAAAAAAAACATTGGCAAATCTGGGGGGAATTTCCCTCATTGCTCTCACCACAGTTACACCACTGTAGGTACGAATGTCTTACTTCGCAGTTGACCCCCACGTGCGGCCATGGACCAGCACCGGCTCCAATCACGAACAGAGGGTCCGTCCCTGTGACTTTCGCGAAATCTCTGATATCGTAAACCTTGTCTAAGTTCACCGAGGGTAGCAAGAACGACGGACTGCCGATGTCGATTACCATTTCGTTACCATTCAGTCCTATATATAAATATACACGTGTATAATATGGTAAGCACACTGTAGTGAACACCAGTAGCGCCGAAGTTTTTAAAATGTGGTCGGGCAATTTCAAAACTTTGCGACCTCAATACCATAATAATTTAATATAGAGGTACCCTAATGGCCTAATATACATTTACTTATCATAAAGTTATGAAAAAAAATGATATCGGGCCCATGGACTTTGGCGCCACTGGCACTGAACACCTCAATAACAAATAATATACATAAGTATTAATGTATGTACTAATATAAGTATATAGGTACACACATTACGCAATGACGGTGATGAATTAAAAAATATAAATTGTAATTTATGTAAGTGCACACGCATATATGTACACAAATGCCATAAAGGACAATTCAAAAGGGTACCTACTACCTATAGTACCTAGGTATAACCTATGGTAGGTATTTTGAGTTTAGAAAAGAAACAAAATTATTGTAATACTTAAATTGTTTAGGTATTGAATATAATATGAACCAGTAATTAGAATTTACATGGTTATACTACATAGGTATATTGGTGAACGGATAATAGGCTTATACAATTGTATAGGTATTATGATCTAAATTCTAAGGTACCTAGTACTTATATGCCCTATATATGGTAGGAGTCACAAAAACTCGCGGGTGGCTGTAGCACACCACGTGGTAACTTTTCTAAACACCTGTTTTTAAAAATAGTATTTTAAAAATATCCAACTTCGAAAAACTTGAAGCCATAAATGCAATCACTTAAAAACATTGGGAAAACTGCATTATACGAAAAAAAAGGTTTTAGGGGTTGTTTAATGGAGTCAATCATTTTAACACTTGACGACAGCAATATTGCAATAGTAATGATGAAGCAGACGATTTTTAATAATAATTTATTTTATAGTAAATATCATACATTTTTTATATACCTACCTACATTACCAATTATTATTATTTAATAAATTAATTATTTTATTGTGTACATTAAATATTGAATTATTTAAAAAAAATACTATTAATACATAAATATATTCATCATAAACATGTTAAATATACAATTTGGCGCGAAACAGTTTACCGACCGTCGATAAATATCACGTGAGTACGCAACATGCTCAATCACGTTTTCGTGTACTATACAGGTAGGTAATAATATTATGTTATTGACTATTGTGTTCACATTATCAGAACGAGAACATTTCAAGTCACCTGCGCGGCATGATCTGTGTGGCTGTGTGCCGTGTGTGTAATTTTATCTTGATGACTTACTACTTAGTACTTAGTACCTACTTACCTTCGGCAGCCAAATTGAACGGCGAACAGGTCAAATCGGGACATTGCACAGCGTCCACACTCACGGTCACAAAATTTTTGGACAACTCCGGTAAAAGGGCTAAAATCATAAAATAAAATCATTAAATGGGTAGGTACATCCTTCAAGGGTTAATGGGTAGGGGTGCATAACCCATGAGAGGGCAGGGGAATGGGCGTTGGACCCGAAGTACAGTGGTCCAGCTATTTTAGGGGCCTGTTGAAATGAATATATGTAATTTTTGAAATTTTGGAAGTACTTCTTTTATAAGCCTATTAAATATAATATTTTTATTTTTATGATATAATTATATGATTTTGATATTTTAAGCTGTGGATTAATCATTCTCCATTGATTACATAGATATATCGTGTATGGGACACCCATATAGCTTAGAAGTTGTAATGGGTTGTATTTTATTGGAAGTTATGTAAGGGGCCCACAAAAATATTTAGTATAGGAGTACAGCGGCCCGAAATTTGAGGTGGGACTCGGGGGGGGGGGGGGGCTGTATAGCGCGTACAGTGTTCAGTGGCGCCGAACTCAATTTAAAATGGGGTGGCAAACTAGTAAAAATTTACCAAACACCCACCCACCCAGAACCGTTAAATTAAGCGGGCATTCTTAGGCCATACCTCAACGTTAACTTCAGACATTATAGTCATGTAAAATAATTTAGTTTTTGTCAGTTATTCATAAATACTAGTCTACGGTAGTGAACATTAAGCAAAAATAAATTTAAAAAAAAAATATAAATACCCATGAAAATGTTTGTATTTGTTCTCAATTACTTTTTCTAAAAAGTGTTACAACAACTCTTGTATGGATGTATTAGGTTTTCTGTTAACTTTTAATGTAATTTTGGTTGGACTAGTTTTGTTACCACATGTATTTAATTTTAATTTAAAATATTTTAAATTTAACGGTACGGTATTGATTTTACATTGATGTGTGTTTTTTTTTTTAATTTTTAATTTTTTTTTGTGTCTGTCATCACGTTTTAGGACAGTAAAAGTGCTTGGATTTTCTTCATCAGTAGCTTTTCTGATAGGAAAATGAATCTAGTTGGTACTTTGGGGGGTCAAAATTAATGAAAAACGGGAATTTTTTAGCAAAATCGGTTTTCCAAAAAATCGATTTCGGTTTTTGGTGTAACTCTAAAAGAAATGAACGTATGTACATGAAATTTTCACTGGTTGTTTATATTTGCATTTTCTATACACGATAACATTTTCAAAATATTTTGATTTATTTTGAACTGTTTAGGGACATTTTCATTTTCCATTTTTTTTTAGTTTTTTTTCTAAAAATATCAATAACATTTTATTTGTTGGTTGCGAAAGCTTGAAAATTTAATAGAAGGCTACTAGTATATTGTTTCAAAGGCAGATGAAAAATATTAAAAATTCTTAGACGCAATTTTTTTTTATAAGCATTTAAAGTTCAAAAATTGACAAAATATTGAAAAATCACGAAAATTAGCAAATTATTTTGAGTTAAGAATTCGTAAAAATTTTTCTTTTTAAATCTAAGATTTTAAAATGTAATACATGATTCCTTATAAGATTATCTACCTTTATCAAAAAAAAAATGTCTATAAGAAAGTCAAATTAAATTTTTATGAGCGTTTGAAATTCAAATTTTTACAACATTGGATGTAGCGATTTCCTTATTTTGTTGTAATTCAAAAACAAATGACTGTAGATTCATGAAAATATCACTGAATATTTATATTAGCATTTCCTATACACCAATACACCATACAATTTTGAAAATATTTTGACTTTTTTTGAGCTGTTTACGGACATTTTCAGTTTCCCATTTTTTTAGTTTTTTATTCTATAAATATCAATAAAGTTTTATCTGTTGGGCTAAATAGTGTAAAAATTGAATACAAGGCTCCTGATATATTGTTACAATATCAGTTGGAAAATATTAAAAATACATAGGCACAATTGTTTTTTATAAGCATTTAAAGATCGAATTTTGACAAAATTTATCAAATTTAAAATTGAATAATTATTTTGTAGTTAAAAATGTATAAAATGTTCAATTTTTATAATATAAAAGAGATATTATCTAAAGATATATAAGGATTGAAAATTTAAAACAAGATTCCACGTAAGTAGTAAATTCAGTTACCAAAAAATCTAAAAAATACATAAGCACCGTTAATTTTTATAGTCATTTTAAGTTCAACTTTGGACAAAATTACATAAAAAAAACCTAGAATAACTATTTTAGTTATTTTGTTGTGATTGTGTAATATTATTCGTGGGTACTTGAAACTTTTAAAGTACACTATTATATAGGTATATCTATGGAGTATGGACTGTGATAGTATCAGAGTTTGTTATTGACGTATAACGCATTATAAGTACCTAATGGATATTATGATATGATTGATTTGGAATTTATTATAGGTACCTATTTTAGGTAAATTTTTTTTGATACGAAAGATAAGTATATAATATGTCTTATACCTAGACTGACATAATACCGTCTCCGCTCAGAATCTTTTTTCTTATACAATGATATTATATCATTGAATTAAAATTTAATACTATCCATTATACAGTTTCCTACTTGTAACCTACTGTACAGCAGAGCACCTTCTTATAATTTTATATCAATATGATTATTATATCATTATTGGTTTTTACAGGAAAAAAGTTGGCTAAAATAGCCACTTCACAGTACTAAAAACCACCAACTGATAATGTAAAAATAATAGATACCTAACACAATTTAAACTGTTCACTATACGTCTATAGTGAATACGTCTATATACTACCTACTTCATTAATACACAGGAATACACGGTGTATAGACGTTACAGTGGTTACACTTTTGATTCCAAGTACTAATTTAGTATCGAACACTCAGTATCTAGCCGTCAAATTTCTTCTATTAGATATTTGCCCACCTGCATAACAGGACCCACCACCCACCCATTTAAAAGGGGTGGCGGTCGCCACCCTTACTATATAGGTTCGGCGCAACTGTGATACACCCATGCAAGAAATGAACTGCTATGCATAAGTCATTTTATAGACCCACGAATCACGATTTTTGTAACGAAATGAGAGCTATAAATTGCCTATAACTAAAAAATGTGCGATATATTACCATCGACACGTTATTTCGTTACAAAGATCACGGTCCTATAATATTTACTTGTGTATAGGAGTTTATGGTGGATACAGTGGCGTATTTAGTATTTTTTGTAGGGGACGGATGACATTGATGACAAGAAATTTAGCTTGCAGATTACGATGTAATAATTATAATATAATAACACACATGTATTTAAAGAGCCATGGGGCAGATTTTTCCTCATATCCGCCTCTGTAAATACGCCCTTGGATGGATATATTGAAAAATATTGTGAAAATAAATAAAAAATATAACATGACATTTAAACGAGTGTCGAGTACTGAGCAGTACCTATACCTATATTCTCTGTCATTATCACCTATTGGATATTTGGATTAGTATATTAGTCAGTGGCGTATATAGGGGAGAGGCCCTCTAGGCCAGAGCCCATACTAAAATGTCAGGTTCAATTAAAGCATTGCATGCATATTTATTATTTACACTGTTTACAGTTTTTCACCATGATTAAGTTAGCCGGTTGATTAAAATCGTTTTTGAGGAATCAACAAGGAAATGTTACCTACGATTGTCAGGACTTGCTTTGATGAATTATTAACTTTGATGTTAAGCTCATAGTAAGATAAAATTAAAATATATAAATGACATATTGACATTGTCAATATTTTTTAAAAAAGAATCAAAAAATTAATTTTACATAATAATTATAAAATTAAATTGCGCAATATTTGTACTGTATAATATTATGTCATAATTATAACCGCCCAGCTCCCTAAGAAATGTATAGTCTTGCTATGCTTGACTATAGTGATAACTGATAAATTGGCCCATAGTGAAAATAGTTCGTATACTACTGATATTAGTTATTAAAGTGTGAAAACCATGAAACAATTTTACGATATTATGCTGTATTTTCGAAAATATAAGTTCCTATCGTTCATTCAAATTTTAACAGATTTTAAAATTGATTTTTTTCTCAATAAGTATTATAAATACCTAAATAACAAAATGGATATTTTCGAATTTTTAAGTTTTTTTTAAATATTATGTAGGCGTATTTTGATATATTTTTTAAACCCTTTCATAAGAGAGTATATTTTAAGAAATAGTTATATACCTACTCATATATTACAGTTAAAACAACTGCACTAAAGTCATTACATTATAATATATTTGTATTTCAAATTAGAGGTACCTAATGATGACTTTCGAATTAATTAGTTAATACTGTATCGAAGTAAAAATGTCCTTGTAAGTTCTTTTTTGTTTTATTTTATAATAGGTAGGTAGCCAGGTTGGTTAGGTTAGGTAGGCATATATCTGAGCTCAATCAACATAATATTAATTTATACTATGTTACTTATGTAATACCCGAGGTTAATCATTTTTCTGGTAATATATCGTTCAGTGAGACACACACATTCTAATATTTTATCATCATATATATTACCTCTACAGTATAGGTACAGAAGAGATAATCAAAAATTATAATGTGTATATTATGTAGATTGTAGAATGTAGATTGAAGAAGTATTTATTTTTATGTACAGAGCGCTTGAATCAATGACATGCCGCATGCATACAATTTATGCGATATGCTTTGTGGACAGTTATCAAATTTATTTGTGATACACGGATACACCATGTATAATGTGATATATAATATTATATTATTATACATATAGATAATAATATGTTGTTCTATGATAGGTATAAACGTCCAATTATTTCTTAATATTATTCATATCGGCTATTGTGTTTGTACCCATTTATTAAACGAACTGCGTATCCTACCTTCGATGATTTTGTCCAAAGTCGGTACGCTGAGATCGATGCGCACCGTGGGCAGACTGATCATGTCCAAAGTCGCGGGCGAGCTCGAATCAGCCATTATTAAGAAATATTAAAACTATATCTTTGAAAGAAAGCGGCAAAGTTTGCAGACACGAACAAATGGACCGTCAGTGATAACGTTTCGCGGTACACTGATTAGTGATTACCACGATTATGAAGAATTCTTTATAATCGTGGTGATTACTGACATAGACAAAATATAGGTAGGTGTGTCAGTAACAATACGAATTTTAATCTTGAATGCGCATCCCCACTTTTTCCTATACGACAGGTTCTCCTCTCTTCAGCGAATCCTGATTTATTACTGTGATTTTGTATCTACATTCTACATTATATTATTATATAGGTATAAATATATAATAATATATTATCAAATATCTTATGTAGGTACACAATTCACTTTTGTATATTGTGTTTATAGAAGCTGTAATTTGACGTATACTTTCTCTAGTATCTACACAGTCCTCATCGATAAAACGTTTGCAGCAACTAACAAAAATGATGTAGTACTTACCGATATAGCAGGTACCTTACTGGATCATCGTTTAAAATAAATTGCAGCCGTGCAGCATAAAGTTTGACTTTGATCAATTTTTGTAAGCTGCTTGGAAACAACAAAATAACCATTATATTTTATGGTTTTCGGTTCCGTATTTTTATGGCAATGCATACTTGATCGCGATCAGTGTATATATAGGAGGAAATGTTGAAGTCCTTAAATTCGAAATTTCGACCCCTAACAAAAGGGAAAAACACTTTAAATAAATATTTAGCTCAGCTGCTTAGGGGATGCTAATAAATGCTTATAAAAATAATTTTGGAAATTACGTGATCGTGAAACTATGCATCCGATACCTACCTACCGACGGTGGAGTTAATTCAATGAAATGTAACCAATTGCTCAACTCTTTTTCTGATTTTATTGGTATTTTCATCTATCTCGGTTTAACAACGTGCACTTTCACTTTTCCATTTTCAACAAGTATTAATCCTCCACCCAAATACCCAATGCTATATTTATATATGTAATAAATAATAAGAACAATTTCATAATATTTTAACATTCGTAATTATTATTTTTAAGTAATTAGTAATTACTATAATCACGGACACAAAAAATCAGCACTAATGAGGTACTCGTATAGTCGTATGCAACAGGCGATTTTTACTAAGGTAGTAATAATTATCGGGTGTAAATATTTCCCATACTAATTACTAAGAGGCGATGATAATTAGTTAAAAGTTTATGAGTCCATAGAGCACGAATAAACAATCATTTTTACATAGGTATTATAATATTATAATTTATAATTTATAATTTATAATGATGATTAAAAAAAAAGAAAAAAGTTAATTTCTAATACATTTCTATTAAATTATATGTTATATGATATTTTAAGACGAATTGGTTCTCGTTCAAAAAAGTTATTTTATTAAGTTAAGTCGAATTGGTTCTTGTTTAATTAATACGCACATTTTCCTTCTCAATTGTACATATTTTGTACAGGCTTAGGACTGTCAACATTAAAGTAGCCCATAGGCGCAATTTTGATAACTGTTTTTGGGGGGGATAAATTTATAAAGTCAATAAAACCCGCGGTATATAACACAATTATAACAAAGTGGCCTGATCGATCTCAAATATAACGAATTCTAATCAGATTTCAGAAGTTTTATCACGTTATCAGGGCCATCGGTATGATTAACAAAAAATTAGTACATTTTGGTTAGTATAATTTGTTCGTTTGGAATTCACTTACTAACAACACTAATTGATTATATATTCTGTAAATACTTAATTGATATTCATTATTATTTATTAGACAACATGCAGCTTGTACACTGTCTAGACTCTAGACTATCCCATACTTATTATTTATTTTTTAATTTGATCATTTTTTTATTAGGTACTGATCATGGATTTAAGAATAAATATATTCAAAAATGAGGGGGCTTAAATAAAACTAGGAATGGCTAAGCCCCTCCCCCTAACTTGTACCTTTGTTTGCCCACAATGTGTGTACAAAGAGATGACTTCGACTGAGTACCGACGCCTCATTGGTAAACTATTATCTCACGAGAGACTATAATTCATGACAATTAATTATAATTTATAACGTATTATACAAATCCGAAATTTTTTTGTTTCAATAATAAATGCGGTTAATTATATAAGTTGTGTTTGTAATTTTAATTTCATACATTTTTCTAATAAATCACAAAACGCAGAATCGTTAAATACTTATATATACACTTACACAATAAATTTAAAAAAAACCTCCATTAACGGACATCTCTACATAGGAGATGTTTCTTAGGGAACACATTACAAAATGTCAACAAACCAAATCCTCTGAATAGCGGACAGCAAATAAAATTTTGGTAACAGTATCCGGTATTTAGTGGTTTTACTGTATATAGTATATAAAAATATATAATTTCTAACGGCTAACACACACATAGTATAGATATAAAATTATTGTTTGAGCTTAAGGTAGTTTGTTATCAAATATTTGAGCACCATTATGAGTGTTATGTTTAATTTGAAACTTTTCTAGTTTTGCAATCGATTTTTTTCCAAAATGTGTGTTTTAGGTGAGTTATAAGAATGTAAAAAAAAGCTCAAAAAAACTTCAAAATCTACATTTTTTTTTTTCGTAATGAGCACTTTAAAATATTCCGTATAAAACCAAGTAAACATGTATGTTAAACATTTAATTTTGTAGAAATAGAATTTATGAAATAAACGATTGTAAACAATTAAGTATAGGATAAGAACATTTTAGGACAAGAATGTCCTAGGAAAAGTTGAAAATAACATAATTATACATATCTTAAATACTAACAAGAGGTAATAATAAAATAATTCATTTAAAAAAATTTAAAATTAAGTTTTAAAACATAATTATCATAATAATATAATATAGCTATTGATACTGACGACTAAAATCGAAACAAAATTTTTCGAGTTTCAAAGTGTTTACCAGGTATAGATGGATGCTACCTGGGCGCTGACGATAGATTTAATATAGACCTTTTATTTTTTCGGCTTGGCTGAATTGACATTGGTGGCGATGGAAATGTATGGTCATCTGATGACATTTCCTAAAATAAAATATAACCAAATTCAGTACTTAGGTATATTAATACTAAATTAAATTACTCTGATAATATTTTAACATTATGACAGTAACATTATTATATGATTATCAAATCAAACTTATTTTGTATCAAATAAATAGGCTGAGAATAAAACCAAATTACTAGTTATTCATGTTGAAGTACCTCCGATGGGAGGTCTCTTCCTTCAGTCTCTTCTGTCTGTTTTTGTTCTATTATCACTTAAGCTTATTGTTCTAATTGTAACATATAGCGTAATAAAGAATTTTGTTAAAAAAAAAAATGTTATGCAAAAGTTTAAAATCAACAAACATTCATGCACATTGTACTACATATAAAACTGTTTAAAATGATAAAACCAAATAAAAAATGTGTAGTTGTTCAACACAAATATTAAATAAAAAATGTACATCATCTTTACAGATGAGATTAAAATAAAAACCAAAAATGAACATATTATAAAAATTGGAAACAGTTTACCAGATTTTATAGTTATACACAATTTGTGATTCATTTTAATATTATAAAAAAAAAATTAATCTGATGTTGTAGTGTACCGAAAATTATATAGCATGATTTGCATAGTATTTTAGAAGGTTTATAATATAAATAATTACCAACTAAACCAACCAAGAAATAATAAAATTAGTTATTTTAAGTAATTTTTGATAATTTATAACAATTAATATAATTTATTTTAATGAATAGCCATAAATTATTTAAATGAATAAATAAAAAATATTTCTGTTAAAAAATTAAAAATTTTAGTAAAACCTGATAAACATACAATTTAACAGTATTTCTCAATTAAAGTAATGTACAAGATAATTTTATGCAATATTAAAAGTTGGCCCATGTTAATTATTTAGTACTTAATATGGTAATGAATAAATAATAAAAGTTCAATAACGTGTAATACATGCATACATTCAACCACAAAAGGTCTTTATCACGCATAAGGACATTGCCGGTTAATCGACACAGCAAACTGGTTCAACAAGTAAAGCAAATTATCAAGTAAATTATTTTTTTTTTTTGAGATCCACTAAGGTAAGATTTTACATTCTGAGTGAAACGATGAATGTATTGATTTTACAATGATGTGTGTTTTTTTTTTTATTTTTTTTGTATCTGTGTACACGATAAGTAGTCAAAATAATGCTTCGATTTTCGACTTCAGTATCTTGTTCGATTGGAAAGTGAATATCGTTGGTGCATTGGGGAGGTCAAAATTTAAAATTCCCAGTACTTTTCAAAAGCGCCAAGAAAAACAAAAGAAAAATTAAGGAAAAACGGGAATTTTTACGCAAAATCGATTTTTCAGAAAATTGAATTTGGTTTTTGGTGTAACTTTAAAACAAATGACCGTAGGTACATGCAATTTTCACTGGTTGTTTATATTTGCATCTTCTATACACGATAACATTTTCAAAATATTTTGATTTATTTTGAACAGTTTAGGGACATTTTCATTTTTCATTTTTTTTTAGTTTTTTTTCTAGAAATATCAATAAAATTTTATTTGTTGGTTGCGAAAGCTTGAAAATTTAATAGAAGGCTCCTAATATATTGTTTCAAAGGCAGATGAAAAATATTAAAAATCCTTAGTCACAATTTTTTTTTATAAGCATTTAAAGTTCAAAAATTGACAAAATATGGATAAATCACGAAAATTAGCAAATTATTTTGAGTTAAGAATTCGTAAAAATTTTTCCTTTTAAATCTAAGATTTGATAATGTAATACAAGATTACTCATAAGTTTGTCTACCTGTATCAATAAAAAAATCTCTACCGGACAGTTAAATTAAATTTTTATGAGCGTTTGAAATTCAAATTTTTACAACATTGGTTATTCACTCGATTTCTCATGTAGCGATTTCCTTATTTTGTTGTAATTAAAAAACGAATAACTGTAGATACATGAAAATTTCACTGAATGTTTATATTAGCATTTCCTATACACCATACGATTTTGAAAATATTTTGACTCTTTTTGAGCTGTTTACGGACATTTTCATTTTTCAATTTTTTTAGTTTTTTTTTCTATGAATATCAATAAAGTTTTATCTGTTGGGCCAAAAAGTGTAAAAATTTAATACAAGGCTCCTGACATATTGTTACAATATCAGTTGAAAAATATTAAAAATACATAGGCACAATTTTTTTTTATAAGCATTTAAACATCGAATTTTGACAGAATTTTTCAAAATCTTGAAAATTATTAATCATCGTAATTAATAAATTATAAAATGTTCAGTTTTTATAGCTAAGGATTGAAAATTTAAAACAAGATTCCACGTAAGTAGTTAATTCTCTTACCGAAAAATCTAAAAAATATACAATCACAGTTTATTTTTATAGTCATTTTATGTTCAAATTTGGACGAAATTACATATTAAAAAACCTAGTTATTTTGTTGTGATTATATAATATTATTCGTGGGTACCTACTTGAAACTTCTAAAGTGTACTATTATATATCTATGATAGTATCAGGGTTTGTTATTGATGTTGATGTATAACGTGTTATAAGTACCTAATGGATATTGTGATAATGTGATATGATTAATTTGGAATTTATTATAGGTCAATTTTTTTTTTTAATACCATAGATATGTATATAATTTGTCTTAAACCTAGACTGACATACCGTCTTCGCTCAGAATCGTTTTTCTTATACAATGATATTGTATCATTGAATTCAAATTTAAAAGCATCCATTATACAGTGACCCACTTGTAACCTACTGTACAGCAGAGCGACATAAACTTACCCACCTTTTTATATTTGATTATGATTATTTTTTTTTTTTTATAAATGATAAATCAAAAGACTACATGTCATGTTATCTTTTCATATGATAAAGAGTTGAAAAATTAACTAGACATTCATAATTTAGAATTGCGTTTAACATGTTTTTTAACTTTTGTTAGTGTACAACTATGTATACTGTTATGCTCATTTAATGGGCTCACATTTAAATTGGTGCACGATGCTAAGTGCATATTGACTGATTGTGTAGAAGGTGTTAAGGCCTGCGTACCCAGCCCTCCATTGTTAGTCAAGCTGAGAACAGGACTCATCATTGTTGACACTGCTCGTTTCAACTTCCTGGGAGTTTTATTAAAGCTTAACGCCCGTCCAACTTTAATACGTGTTCTGTTTGCAAACCTGTAAAACAAATGGAATTGTTAATATACATAATATCAATTTCATACAATCAACATTTATTATGAAGAATAATTTACTTGAAAGCTTTCCCAAGAGTACCAATAGTAATTTCACTTGTATCAATGTCCAATTGCTGAGAATCCAATGATATTAATATATTGCCCTAAATTTAATAAAACAAATATTTAATAAATTTCTATAAACACGTCTCTTTTAACCACTCGAGTACTCACAGAACACATGATGTGGGCCACTTGTTGCGATAAATTTTTTAAGAACATTTTTTTATGATTGTCACAGCTATTACTTCCAGTCATAGTAAACTTATATAATATTTCTTTAAAGTCATGATTGTCAATAATTAATAACGAAAATGTATTACGACAGTCTGGAAAAAGAATAATTTAATCAAAATGTTTATAGGATTATCTATAGTATTATTATTGCATTAATTGGCCTGCTTGTGTGTTAAAGACAAAGATAAAAGGCAATGTTTAGGCAATATGCAATTTTATTGCCGCCATCCATGGCACTTGAGTTAGTCGTCAATGATGAGTGTGTGAGTGTGATTGTATGCCGGTACCGGGCTATTTACGCATGCTTACACGTCATGTCAACAACACCGCAAATCAAAAATAAAAAGCATTATTTACATTTAGAGTGGCCTGATAAAGTAGTTTCAAAAAAAAAGTGTTAATTTATTCAGATTTATATAAATTAACATCACTAAAAATAATATTGAAATAACTAAAAATAATTTGCAATTTTTGGCGATTTTAATGAATATTGTCAAAATATTATAATCTTCATATGTTTTTAAACAAAATTGTCGAATGTTATCTCCTGTTTACAATTGCGTTATATAATAAACTGTGTTTAAGTTAAGAAGCACAGTTGGCGGCAATCAGGCAACACCCCGTTTGTCATCCACCCCAATCGAATCAACTATCAAGTATCTATATACCTGCTGTGTAGTATTTCCACATCCCTGCTCATAAGACGGCCACCTACTGTGTTTATTAACTAGAATAGAGGTATAGTAAAATTATGTTGAGAGGTTCAATTATAAAATTTGCCATGTTGTATGTTTGTAAGACAGGGACAAAAAATACCCGTATGGCATCTTTTTAATATTATCTTTAATATTATGCTGGGGCAATACCATATAAAAAGTGGGTTAAAATGTTAAATGCCAGAAGTATGAAGACTAGAATAATGAGACCAAACTCTGCATCTGATAATGTACCAAAATGAGTCGCTTGATTAAACGGCCAGTACAGGCTAGCATTGCTACTTTAACCCATGTAGTATATGTATTATCTATGTTTCTTACGGTTTTTTCAAAAATATATGCTTTATTTTGAACCATGACCCTTCTTAGATTTTATAGCTTATATGTATTTATACATGTGCATACGTATATGCATATTTCATAAACATTCACCATTATTAAGAAACAAATTTGAGTGTTAAGATACATATCACTATATCAGTATAAAACGATTGTTCAAGAAAAGACACGTGTATGGTGTATCGAATAGTATCGGGCTCAGACTTACTGTGAACACAGCTATTTAGGTATAAAAGGAGTAATCGTACAACCTATAAAATCTAAAAAGGGTCATAGATCAAAGTAATGCATATATTTTCCGTAATGTAATATATATAGAAAGATAGAATGAGGAAATAACTGATCACTAAAATATAGCAGTTCTTCAAAACAATTATTATAGAGGAGTTTATTTACCTTCAGTGTCTTTAATGTCTATAACTTGTTTAATTATGTTTAACGGCATCAATTTGATATGTTTATATGATTTGGCACCACCATTAAATTTGTGTGAACCAGAATTCGGTTCTTTTGGACTCTTTCCATTAAATGATCTTTTTTTTTTACAGACCTAAGGAAGAACTATCATCAATTTTTTATTTACTTTATGAAAAATTAATATAAACTTCTTACTTCAACAACGTCTGAAAAAACAAATATTGTTAGATGATCCCCATGACCACTAAGGTTATCACTTTGCTCAACCACATCACATTTTGTAATAAAACATCGATGTGACGAAATTAAATGAGGCTAAAAACAAAATATGATAGTTGTTGAAACACACATACTTAATATTGAAGTAATACGAAACAATTTTACACACAAATCAGAGTATCATTCATAAAAATATAATTAATATACTCACAGGACAATTATCAATATCATTAAATATATCAAAAAGTACAACTTGACCTTCCGTCTTTCTTTTATCTTCATTTATGTGAGTCATTATTTCTCGTATACTGGCTAGGGCTGATACAAGAGCTTGATGATCAGGGTTATTCTTGTCAGTATGTTTCAATATATCTATAAAAGTATTTAATTGTAGAACTTAAGTGCACGGTTCTGATGTTCTATGTTACAACAATTTGAACCACTTCACAAGACTCACCATTTAATAGGAGGCTAACACTGGGTAAGCGTTGCACAGGTCGAATGAGAAGTTCTTGTAGACTCTGTCGACAACATTCAGGCCTTAACCGACCGACTTTGAGGAAGGCATGAAAAAGAGGTTTTGTTTGATCACACTGTAACAACATCTCCCTTGTTTTTTCAAAAAAATTTACAAACGGTGGATAAGCTTTCACCAACTCACTGGACTACAACATAATTAAAAAATTAAAAAATGTATTTTAATTGCAAAATCCATTGTCAAATGTGTAGCATTACATATTTGAGGAAAACACTTCCTATACTACTATCTTCTTTCCACAATGTAGCAATGCATTTGAGCTCTTCTAATATCTCTTGATGCACTTGATAAATAGGTAAGACATTTCCAAATATAATTTTAATTTCAGTATTATTTAGCAAACAGTTTTTTTCGTCTATAATTTCTTCTAATGGTTCTTTGTACACCTATGAACAAAACGAAAACCTGAATAATTAGGTGAATGAAGAAAAGAAAATAACTATGGTACAATAAAAATTGAAAAAAAAAATAATAATATACATTATGAATTAAGAAAAACTTCTTACAGTAATTATTGTGTTTAACACTCCCACATAGTTAACCTCAGTCAGTAATAATTCAGAGAAAACTTGATATCGCGGACTAAATGGTTTATCTTTTATAACTATATCTTGATCTGAAAATGATACATTCAATCTAAATACAATACAATGTTATCATAATATTATTATTCCAAAACCCGTACCTTTTGGGAGTTTCAAAGGCAATGGATGATCTGGGCTGTTCTCGAAATTTAAAAATGATCCACATGACAACTTTAGGCCATCAAGAGTGTTTGCAGCTGATGACCGTCGTTTTGATGGGCCTGAACTATTTGTTGGCGATGTTTCGCGAATAGTTGCCACAGGTGTTGGACTAGGCCTTAGCAAAGAACCTAAATGGTCTAAATGCCTTTTTCTTTTGCGCGAACGAGAAGAATTTAATGTCAACGTAGATGGCATTACATGAGCAGATGTATGTGTGTTGGTCACATCATTTAACTAAACCAATTGAAGTTGCATAAGTATAAAACAAATTACATATTGAGAAATATAAAATTAAGTTCTTACATTCCTTAATAAATATTCTTTTGTTAAGGCGCAACTCTGGTATTGTACAGATATCCAGAACCATGCTTCTTTCAGGATTTCAGCATTATTCTTCTTCACTGGAGGAATTAAATCTAATGAAGATTCATTAACAACCTAAAAAAAAAAAAGGTTATAAATAACAGAATAAATATTTTGACTATCAAAAATGAATTTTATCATTATTAGAGAGATTATTATTATTAGCATATGGCTATTAATAAATAATAATAATAATTAGAGAGATCATTTTTTTTTTTAATTAGTACTAAATTAAACAAAAAAAAAGTAAAAACATTGTTAAATAGAATCAAGTTTCTATAATTTATCCATAATATTTTAAGTTTTTTTAAACTTTTATCTCAAAATTTAACTAACAAAATGTTCCCTTTTTGTCTCCTCCAATAAACTCAAATACACACACATTTTTTCAACCATAAATAATTTTGAATAGAACTAATATTTTTTAAAGTCAACTTTGTTATGGATACCAACATACAATATATTTCTTTTCTTAGGTATCATTTTTTGTTAACAAAATTTGAATTTGCATAATTGTTTAAAAAAATGTTATCCATAACAATTTTATTATTTTTTTAAAATTGTATACACTTATCATAATGCAGGCGAATCCCCAGTGGGGGGCGAAGGGGTTTTGGTGCTAAACTGAATTAATATAAACCCAAATTGCAAAGCATCAATCCATACAAACAAATATGAAAACCATCACTAATCATATCCAATAATTAATAAGTAATAAAAAGCGGACTATTTTTTATCTGGGGACAAAATTTGGTTAAGATTGTAAGTTACTATACTCCTTTTCAAAAGAGAACATACCGCTTTCGCGCATGTCGAATGATTCGATTGGTGCGTCGAGAACCACGTGATCACGCTAATAATGGGAAATTGGTGGGGGATATGCGCCGCAGGACATAAATTGGTCGCCGACCGGTATGTTCTATTTTGAAAAGGAGTATAAGTTACCTAAGTGAATTGTGTTTTAACCGATTCTTAGAAGGAAATCATCTTGTGTGATTTTCTATTAAATAGCTAATACATTTAATGTTCTATATATTATACATAATATGCAAAATTAAATATATGATTTTATAGTTAATTAAAACTTAAAATGTGTAATAAACACTGTGGGTAATAGCAAGCTAAGAATTATAAATAATGTTCATGATATAAAAATTAAGCATTCACTAATTGATAATGATGCAATGTTAAGCTAATATATTATGTTAGTGATAAACAGAGCTATGAATCATATTGCAGTAACTCAAATGTTTGCTATTAGAAACCCAAAGGAAATAAAATAAAAATTGAGTTAATGGATATAATTTAATATTTATCCACAATGTCATAGTAGTATGTGACATAGTATGGGTTTAGGATAAATGTTTGAAACATTGTTTATTATTTGTATTTTTTTTATGCATTAAATTTTCTTCCAGTGGCAAACCATTAATAAATTAATAAAATATTTAATAATCAACTAGAAGAGAACACTCAATAAGTTTCATTTATTATATTTTTAGATTCTGAGCGGAGCAATGTATTGTATTTAATATGATGTGTTTTTTTTTCTGTCTGTCATTAACATTTGGTATAGTAAAAATGCTTTGATTTTCAACATCAGCATCTTTTCTCATAGAAAATTAAATCTAGTTGATACTTTTGAAAGGCTAAAATTGAAAATTCCATAGAAGAAGAGTTTCATTTTTTAAATCATTATATCATGAAACATATATTGTGTTCACTTAGCACATCATACGGTTAACCAGAATAAACATGCAAATGCATATAAATCAGAGGTCTATTTATAATCACTAAAATGATATATAACAAAAGATAAGATTATCGTAAAGATAAAACAAAAGTAGTTATTATGGATGGAAGTTAGTTCTTAGGATCTGTAGGTCTTTTTGTAACCAATAGGATCAACGGATATTGTTTATAATTGTTAATGATTTTTAACAATCAGTATTGGTTTCTATAGCCAAATTGCATCATGCTTTGATGTGTGTTATATTTAAAACTTATAATTATTAGCGGCTAATAGAATTTAATCCAAGTATCTAAATATAGGTAGTTTATAAATTTAAATGAACAAAAAACGAATATCAATATAAGTTTAATTTATAAAAAAAAACTTATATGTATATTATTTTATTATGAATCTATCTGGTTGATTTGTCAAAATTTAGTTACATATATTATTATTTACTGCTTAATGTGTTAAATTATTTAATAACAGTAAAAAATATCATTACAAAATATTATCAGGTCTTATTCCATACATAAAAATATCGAGGTGTTTTCAGAGATATTATTATAAATTAATATTAGTTTAATTATAAAGGAATAAAAAGCAAAGCCATTAATATTTTATACATATAATAGACACAAACTAAGCAATATTCAATCAAGATGTATAAATAAATACATTTTCCAATTAGTTTTTAATTTATGATTATAGACAAGGTATGATTTAATATTTTTTAATAAAATTATTAATACCAAAAAATAATATTACTATTTTACTTAATACATTTTTTATTTAGTTTATACTTTTATACAAATATACTTTATTTTTAATATTCTTTTAATAAATGTAAAAAATTTAAACCAAAGTTCGGGTTGAAACAAACATCCTAATATAGAATTAGGATGTTTAAACAAAAACTCATAGCAATCTATGTCAAAAAGGAAAGCGAATCTTCTTGGTTTTATGAGACACATTTTCACCATCTACTACACTCAGTGTTCTTTTTAACCCCCCATTTTGAATATTAATACTTGAATTCTCTTTATAAAATGCTTGAATTAAATTTTTAGGAGCCAAATACGGTGTTGGATCTCGGTTGCCTAAAGGACAAGAACCTTTCTTTGTAACCTGACATGCAAACAGAAAAAACATTATACGAACACACACAAAATGTTTAAAAAAAATTAGCCTTGTCTGATAAAATTAAAAATAAATAAGCAAAAATTTGTTGGTAAATCCCATCATTATTTTGCATGTAAAATACAAGGTCTTTGCACAATATTAAGGTTAGTGGTCTTGTGCACACAAAAAGCTATATTTTTATAAATACAAATTCAAACACTTAAAGCAAAAACATAAGAGTTTTACCCATGTTTATGCTATAGAGTTGTGCTTTAGATCAAATTCAGAATCTGTCTACTCTCACTGGAGTTTTTTATATTAATAAGAGGTAAAATTTTTACCAACCATGAGTAACAACTAACAAATTTAAATATGTATATTATTTTCTAGCCTTAACAATTTAATACAACACAAGTACATAAATTATAATTTACTAATGCAAAAAAAAATATTCAAATGACATTTACCAGATGAGTACATTCTGTATCATTTTCATCGCCTATTGGAGTCCCTCCATTTTGTGACAAAACTTCAACCATATGTGATTGTTCTTCTTCCGTGAACCCTATAAAACACATTTTGGCTCCATGGAATGGTTTTAGCTTGTGTTCTGAAAACTAAAATTATTTTTTGACATTAATAATATTTTTCATAAAACTGTAGACAAATTTAAACAAAACATGTTTTGGTATCATAGATTTTAATACTTACAAACGATGTACTAATTGCTTTGAAATCCATTTCATCTCGTCTCTCCCAAGCTGCATGAAGCCAAGAAGATCCAATAACCGGGATTTCATGTAAATACGCATATTGGGATTTAACACTGCATGCATAACCAGACACTAAATGAGTAGTCTTGTAATTAATACTTTCTCGAAAACTACCACCCATCCAACGGATCAAGCTCAGAAGACGTGCCTGAACAATAGAAATACATAAAATATCAATTAATTGATTACATTAATAAATTATATTACAAATCACAAATACCATTTCATCTCTCTTTTGAATTCCTGTGACACTGACAATGGCGCCAACAAGTGCATTGCAATAACGATGGCGATTAATGCCCTGTAAACCATTAGGGCTTTTAGCCAATTCCAACAAGGCTGGACGCCCAAGAATTCTAAATAAATGTTAAATAAATAATTGGTTTTGAATATATCTTAAATCATGAATAAACCATAATATTTTAACTAAACATACTTGAAATATGGTCGTTTGACTGCATGTTCTTCAAACAGGGTGGTGACCAAGATATCATTTTTTTCCAATAAATTTACATCCGATAGATTTTCTAAGTATTTAATAGATACATTTAATTTCTAAAAATAAAAATGGTACCTATCGTTATTCATTTATAATATACATCATAAAGAAATATTAGTGAGACAACTAAAACTTATTTTACCTGAATAGATAATATTACATCTGAATCAGAAGAATATATTTTTTCCAAGAATATATTAAAATTTGACAACTCGGATTCAAAACTTGAAACACCTGAAAAAAGTTTTAATTTAATATTATCATAGTGTAAAATAACTAATATAAAATCACCATTTGTTATTTTAACTTTAACCATCTTATTTATTTACTAACCCTATGTTATGTGTACTACATACTTTCTGATTTAGGTGAGTATACGCAATAAGCGTGCAGACTTAAATTTCTGGTCAAACCTAGGCAATTATAGTACCATAATATTTGGACAACGCCTCTATTTTTTTTTAAAGAAAACTAGGTACACACAATTATATTTTTGATTTTATTATACTTTCATGACAAACAAAATTTCCGTGATCTCCACGGACATATTATTTTAATATAAGCATTATAATAAAATATATACGCATATTTTACCATGCCCCTAAAAAGTTGCAGGTCGAGCCTGGGCTTGGACGGCTCACCCCGTGCGCATGCCTATGGTATACCCATAACAGTGACTCACTACATTTTTCTTAAAAATATTAATGTAAAAATATACCTAAGTAATATAAAATATAAAATTTTTTTTATGTACTTGTACCTACAGAGCCACAGAGGCATTTACTGTGAATTAGTGTTCGCATTTCCTAGATATCTATTTTTATTTACCTAACCTTTTAAAATATGCATTTAATATTTAAAAGTTATTGATTTCCCATCAGAATATAAGTTAGGTATCTCTTTAGTTATTCATCAATATAAAAAATATAAATGTTTAGCTATACGTACCTACCTACCGAGCTACATACCTATACACATATTTTTGCATAGTTGAAACTTTGAAAGTACAAATTGGCTACTTAGGTAATTTTTTTTTTATCATATTAGGTATTATCATTTAGTAATTTTGTATTAATTAACCCGCGGCAACTTAGGCCATTGGGTGTTTTTTTTAACTGTAGGGGAGGGTACTATAGGTTTTTGTCGTGGTTAACTAGAATACTAGATGTCGATATACTGTTAACGGACCTACTAGTTAAAACGAGTTTACGCGCTTACACTTACTTTGCATTTTCACAAGTTCCTCATCGAGATCGCAATTATTGCTGTTGTAGTTGTTCTGTCTGGTTCCGTTCGCTGCCGACATCGTGGAAGCGTTGGTCTAAAATACATACCGGTAAACACTAAATTTCAGTCTAGAGTGCAGACCACAGAAATACATATATTATATCCACGGTCTTCGATTTTGGGTGTTATAATACTGGCCCGCTGTACGCGCAAGGTGCAACTAAGTTACTAACGGCAGTCGAATGAAAAACGCTATAAGATATTTTATGTGGAAGTACGATTTAAGATAGTATACTAAATAGTACATACCACCACAGATATAGATAATAAACTAGATTGCTAACTACCATAGAACATAATATAAGGTCTATGCGATGACGCCACTTTTTCAACATCAAGGTTGTGGGCTAAAGTATTTTATAAATTTGAATCGTGGTGATAATACACAGTATAGTACAGTATAGTATAGTATAATGCACGAACTTGGATCATAGACTTCTATACTATAGAATTATACAGAACTCAGTGACATATATATATATATAATATATATATCTTAATTCGTTGAATATTTGAATTCGGTTATCAGGTGATAACCATATATAGATAATAAAGATCTATGGTGATAACAGTCTACAGCGGTGGCCATATTACTATGGCGGTAGTGTACTAGTGTTGAAAACCACGAACTTAGTTCGTGCTGAAAACATTGGGAAACCCATAGATATTAGATATATATCATATATACAACGACTAGATAGCCGTCATGAACTAAGAAGATATCTTCTTAGTTCATGATAGCCGTCTCCTTCTTGTCATCGAAATCGGCCACCATTTACAAAGCAGGCGATGTTTACAAAATAATATTATCATAGTAATATAGTATATATGTATAGATAAATATATATGTATATAGATAAATGTAAAATTAATGTAAACATTGCCTGCTTTGTAAATGGCGGCCGATTTCAATATTGGTCACAGCTGTAGCATAATTAATGCTCTAAACAGACACTTCAATAAAGAGTTCTTAAAGAGACCTATAGTATAATGACGTCTATCTAGTTGTTGTATATATCTATGGGGAAACCTCAAACCAGTTAGGTACCTAGTTTATGCGTTTATGTCCGCAACTAACATGGCATTTTTTATAGTGTCTCAGTGTCTCACGCACAATTATTATTATTTTATGTGCAGTGGCAGCGCTCGTCTCTTGTTCACGCTTCACCTACCCACGGCATTCGTACGACCATCACTCATGACTCATCAGTCATCAGTCGTCTTCTCAGTTCTCATTACTTGTCTATGCTTCTCACAATCTCACCCCAACACAGTTACCAATACGAGTAGCACTTCATCCCAGTTTCGCCTACAGATAAATCATTACTTATTATACCAGTTCTGTGAATTAAATGCATTTGCATATTCCTTTGATACACATACACAGTATAAAATAATGGATACCTACTTTGAAATCGAAATTTGTTTTGATTTATTTATAGTTAAAATCCAAAATCTTATTTAGGATATAATTTAATGGGTTAGGGTAAATAATTACATGTTTTCTTAGTCACCCAGCTAGTATGTAAATTTAAATTTTTTTTTTGTAAACCAATTGTATTATTATTTATTCATTTTAATAGTTTTTTAACACAAACTTTTTTTATAGAGCTTTATTTGAATAATTTTACTAATTTTAGTGAATATTAAACACTTTTTTACTGCATTCAATTCACAGTGGCATTCCTGCTGGTTACTTTAATTTAAAATCATACCTACAGGTTACCACAGTTAATATTAAATATCCACAATTAACAGCTTCTTCAAGTTGATGACACTTAAGAGGATGTCAGATTTTTAGCGCACTATTTATTTCTCTCTCTGACCTACACACAATCATAATTCATAAGCTTAACTTGGGGCAGGCTGGAATGGCTCAGAACCCCGTAAACTTGTAATAGACTCCCCCCAAAAAAAAAATTATTCCATTGTTTCCTAATATATTAATAAACATTTTTAAAATTCAACTGTACTTCTTAATTTTTTTTTTTTTGAATTCTTATTTACATTTACACATTATTTACATTTAATGATTATTATATATAGCCACAGACAGTATAGGTATTATTATTGTGAAAAATTAAACTTGAGTAAATAAAAATGTAGGACAAGAATTTTCATAAACAGTTCATACTGTAACCAAAAAATCCAAATAATCTATTAAAAACACAGTTAATTTTTACAGACATTATAAGTTCAAATTTGGACGAAATTACTTACTAAAACAAAGAATAACGATTTTAGTTATTTTGTTGTAATTTAAAAATAGTATAGGTATTTGTAGATTTATGAAACTTTTAGAGTAGGTATATTATTATAATTTTTATACCGCTGACACTTTCAAATGTTATTTTTTTGGACTTTTACCTACTGTTTGTACTAAAGCCTAATAGTAAAATAATTACTTTAATAGTTTAATCACAATATTAGTTATTAGTTATTACCTAATGTCTTGTTGCTCGATATAACAATAAACTTACACTTGAAATATAAGTTATAACCATGTATAAAAAAGGTAAAATATGTAATTTCGTCCAAATTTGAACTTAACATAAAAAATGACTATAAAAATAAACTGTGCTTGTGTATTTTTTAGATTTTTGGTAACAGAATTAACTGCTTACATGAAATTTCGTTTTAAATTTTAAATCCTTAGATATAAAAACTGAACATTTTATAATTTATTAATAACAATGATTGATAATTTTCGAGATTTTGATAAATTTTGTCAAAATTCGAACTTAAAATGCTTATAAAAAAAAAATGTAACTACGTATTTATAATATTTTTAACTTACTATTGTAACAATCTAACAAGAGTATTGTATTAAATTTTTATACTTTTTGGACCAATAGATAAGACTTTATTGTTATTTATAGAAAAAAAAAACTAAAAAAATTTAAAACTGACACTGTCCGCTCAAAAAGAGTCAAAAGTTTTTCAAAACCGTATGGGTGTATAGGACATGCTTATATACACATTCAGTAAAATGTTCATGTATGTACAGTCATTTGTTTAAGAGTTGCACCAAAAACCAAAATCGATTTTCTCAAAACAGATTTTGCGTAAATATTCCCGTTTTTAATTAATTTTATTTTGTTTTTCACGGCGCTTTTGAAAACTACTATGCAATTTTTACTCTTGACCCTCCCAAGTACCAACTAGATTTACTTTATTATCAGAAAAGATACTGTTGATGAAAATCCAAGCACTTTTACTGTCCTAAACGTGATGACAGACACAAAAAAAATAAATTAATAAAAAAATAAATAAATAAAAAGTAAAAAAAAAAACACACATCATTGTAAAATCAATACATTCATCGTTCCACTCAGAATCTAAAATTTGTATTAATTTCTAACACAATAATTTAAACATTTTAGTAATTTTTACGTGTTTTGAAAAGATTCGAATTTTAAATCCTTGTAAAATTGTGAATATGTTTTTATTATATTTTTCAACTGATATTGTAAAAATATATCAGGAGCCCTGTATTCAATTTTCAAGCTTTTTTACCTAACGAATAAAATTATATCGACATTCACAAAAAAAAAAAAAACTAAAAAAATTGGAAACTGAAAATGTCTTTTACAGTTCAAAACAAATCAAAGTATTTTAAAAAATTTATATGTATAGAATATGCTAATATAAACAACCAGTGAAAAATTCATGTGTATACGGTCATATTTATTTTAGAGTTATGTACACCAAAAATCAAAATCGATTTTTTCGAAAACAGATTTTGGCAATATAATTCCACTGGCACTTTCCAGTATTGGATTGGCCCTCCAGTAGTTGGGTAAGTTTTAGTTGTTATCATCCTTGCCATATACTCTATATAACAGGGGTCACCGACTGACACATTTTTACGGACCCTATATAAATGGCTGCGTAATTATAAAATATATAATATAGTTTTTACATTATATTTCTATAATAAAATGACGAATAAAATATTTTCCGATATTGTGAGTATGGTACCTATACAATATATATATTATATACGTGACTCCTTCACCGAGCATAAAGTTGAAAGCCCGTAGACCATAGGTGCAAAAAATAACTCCAAGAAGTTGACTGATATAGGTATACCTACGTTATAAGTACGTTTTATTACAATTTAGTATGATTGTTATCAGGGGCGTCATTTGAGGGGGGTCAGGGTGTGCGGTAGCACCCCTTAATTTTAAAATGGTTCCAATTGGCCTGCACCCCGCTGAAGCCTAAAATAATGCACGAGCCACGAATGCACAATTATTAATATGATTAAAATTAAATTGTATTTTAATTTTTATATTGACAACTTAATGAAAGATTATCAGAACCAACCAATAACTTGTTTAAGTTATTTGAAATTTTTTACCTTTCTAGTCCCAATTTTTTTAATCCAGATATCTTTTATTTAAAACTATTTATAAACCATTATAGTTATTTTAACTTTAATGAAATTCAAATTTCTTCTGAGTTTCCACCAGTAAAAGCACTATTTAATGAGAAACATGATGTTGATTTGGACACCATAGCAATATGCCTAAATGATTGTCCTATCGCTTTTGTTGAAACTTTAAAAATTATTTCATTGGTAAAAACTTTACCAATTACAATTTACAAAGGCATCAAATAAAAGGTTTTTTCATTATTTAAAAGAGTTAAGTCATATTTACGCATTACCATGGGTGATGAAAGGCTAAGTGATTGGATGGTACTTAATGTTGAAAAAAAGAAGTTAACAATATAAATTTAGAAGAAGCTGTAGATAAATTCACTAAACTAAAAAATCGACGATATCCGCTTCTTTAAATTTAAAATATTTTTTTTCTAGCTCTTTGCTTTTTCCAAAATTATAATAATTATGAAAATAAACGACAATTTATTAATGTAGATATTAAGTCCTTTTTTTATTTGCTGCTGCATTAATTCTTCTAGCTTTTTATGAATCAATTATTATTGGTTTTCACTTTTTACTGTTAAGGTAATTCATTATTTATTATATTTTAGTTTCTTAATAAATTGATATTTACTATTTATTTTGACGCAATGATTCCGAATTGATTCGGTCCTTACTCATCATGTATAATGATAATGGAAATAATTGAAAACCGGATAATGTACATATATACGTATGTATATCTATTTTTATATGGCCTAGTGAAATTTCAAAATGGCCTGCTTGAAACCTCGCACACCCGAAAAAAAACCTGAAATGACGCCCCTGATTGTTATTAATTGTTAATGTGTGAAAACAGTCATTGGGTATTTAAATGTGTTTTGGACCGTTGGAAGTTTGGTAATTTTCAAAACAGACCCTCGTAGAAATTAGTTGGTGACCCCTACTCTATAATATTATACATACTAAATTTTAATACCTGCAGGTTGAAGTTCAGGAATGGATCAAGGCGGGACTAATATACAATATATTATTAAAAACTATAATGGCTAACAAACAGTGCTGCAGTTTAAAACAAAAATGAAGTAGGTGCCTAGCTTACTGGATCGATGTTTATAATATATTACAGAATAACATTTGAATTCAATCAATTTTAGTAAACTGCTTGGAAACACCAAAGTAACCAGTATATTTTATGGTTTCCGGTTCCGTATCGTTGTAGTAGTGTCCTCCTTGATTGCGGTCAGTGTACAGGTGGAAATGTTGAAGTCTTAAATTCAATCCCTAAAAAATTGGGAAAAATATTTAGCACAGCCACACAGTATAGGTATGCTTATCAAAATAATTTTTGAAATTACGGGATCATGAGAAACTATACATCCGACACCCACCGACGGTGGAGATAATTCAATGAAATGTAACAAATTGCCCAACTCTTTGTCTGATTTTATTGGTATTTTCGCCAAGCTCGGTTTGATGACGTGAACCTTCACTTTTCCATTTTCGATGAGTATTACTCCACCCAATGCTGTATTAATTTATGTAACAAACAATAAAACGATTTCATAATATTCAAATATTCATAGATATTAAGTAGTAAGTACCTACCTATACATCTAGTATAGTCTATAAATTATAATCTAGTAGTAAAAATATATATTTCTAGGAAATGCAGTATTTATTATAGGTAGGTACTTATTATAGAAGCATGGGTGTTCTCACGGGGGATATGGGGGATAGATCCCCCTCAAGGTTCTTTATTTTTTACATATTAGTACTACACGTTTTGTCTACTTTTGATATGTGTTTGTGTTTTAAATATTGACCAGTTATTATTTTTATTTATTTTTTGCTATTTTTCTTTATCGTGATTATTGATTCCACCACAATATTATTATTTATCACTGATAAGGATAACAATATATATAAGTTATATAACCAGTGGCGTACTCACGGGGGGGAGGTCATGGGGTTCGAACCCTCCCGGCTCCCCCCTATCGGCCGTATTTTTTTTCACTTTCATATGAGTATTACAATATAAGATTTTGTTTTTTGGTGTACTTAACTCTAAAACAAATGATTGTAGATACTTGAAATTTTCACTGGTTGTTTTCATTATCATTTTCTATATACGATAAAATGTATTGTTAATAAGTAATATTATTTGGATTTATTTTGAACTGTTTATGGACAATTTTGCTAGTTTTTTTTCTATGAATGTCAATAAAATGTTATTTGTTCTGTAAAAAAGCAAGGCTGGGCATTAACGAATTAATAAATTAAAGTTAAGTTAAAAAGTTAAGTTACTTTTAACTAAGTTAATTAAAGAGTTACTTTTTTTCTTATGTTATTCAGTAACTTACGATTTTATTAATTTTATTGCCACGTTTTTTTCCAATTTTTTCCCAAGCCACAGGTTTAAAATTAATTCAATTTTGTAAAAATTAATTTTATTAAAAGAGAATCCGAAGTAGTGACACATTTCATTCAAAATGGAGTCATTTAAATAAATATTTTAAAGAAACATGGCGGGCTGCTAAAACAGGTAAAGCCGCGGTAAAGAGAATAGATAGAGATCATGGACTGAAACTTGAAAGTATTGTGTTTTGAAATGTTTGGTAAATTATAATGGTTTTATAATGATTATTAAAGTATGAATGTTGAAGAGCTAAGTTTTTGGTTGCATTATTTTACTTTTGATATTCATATGATATACCAAATACAGCTATCACTAGGTACTGTCTACTAAAATGGTAAAATAACACAACATTTGTAAATATTATGACTATAAAGTATAAACTATAAAGGGTGTGGGGGGCAGAGCGCCCCACTATTGAATTCAAGTCAATTTTCAGAACCCCCCCATAGAAAATTCCTGAGAACGCCACTGTATAGTAGGTTCAATAAATGTTAACACATTACACATACCAATTATTTCATTGCCAAAATGCTTTACTAATGCTTCTTTAATGCACGTGCTATAACTTAGCGGTCCCTTTCTTACTTCGCACACAATTTTCAAAACCTAAAAAATACACTTGTATTAAAATTTAAAATTACTAAGGTTAGTTTGCAATTTACATAATATATCATATTATCATGTATTCATGTCAATATGTCATCGTACTCGTATCTATATAGAGAAACAGTAATATTGTAATTTATTTAAGTTATATTTAATATTTATACATTTAAATAATAATATACCTTTTTTTTTACTAAGAAAATTTACAATCTATAATTAATTATATACAATAAGTAAAATCGATGGCTGTAAACATATACATAGCATTAAATAACATAAGAAGCACATGATGAACTGATGAATGATGTCACCCAAAGATGGAACCCCCCAGAGTCATTGTTTTATCTAATCATTTAAATATATTCAGGTCTCTGCACCAATGCCTCTTTAGGCAGCGTGGTTGATTCTCAGGAAGAGTACGTGACTATAGGTGGGAGACTAAAGGGTCGGTGGTTGTAGTTTGTAGTAAAACCTGTTATAATATAATTATAGTCTATAGATAATATATCCTCTTCATACTCTCTCGGGGTCACTTCAATTCTACCTGATGGGCATGTCCGTGAACAGCTCAAAAAGAGTCAAATTATTTTACAAAATTTCATAGTGTATAGAAAATGCTATTATAAACTTTCAGTGAAATATTCAAGTATCTATAGTCATTCATTTTCGAATAACAATAAAATAACAAAATCGCTACATGAGAAATCGAGTGAATATCCAATATCGTAAAAATATGAAATTCAAACGCTCATAAAAATTTAATATGACTTCCTTAAAGACATTTTTTTTTAAAGGTAGATAATCTTATAAGGAATCTTGCATTACATTTTAAAATCTTAGATTTAAAAAGAAATTTTTTATGAGTTTCTAACTTTAAAATTTCCAAATTTTCGTGATTTTTCCATATTTTGCCAATTTTTGGACTTTAAATACTTATAAAAAAAAATTGTGACTATGGATTTTTAATCTTTTTCATCTGCTTTTGAAACAATATAATAGGAGCCTTCTATTACATTTTCAAGCTTTAGTACCCAACAAATGAAATTTTATTGATATTTATAGAAAAAAATACTAAAAAAAAATGGAAACTGAAAATGTCAGTAAAGAGCTCAAAATACTTGGAAAATGTTATGGTGTACAGAAAAAGCTAAAATAAACATTCAGCCAAAATTTCATGTACCTATACATGGTCAATTGTTTAAGAGTTGCACCAAAAACCAAAATCGATTTTCTCAAAAACAGATTTTGCGTAAAAATTCCCGTTTTTCCTTTTGTTTTTCACGGCGCTTTTGAAAACTAGTGAAAAAATTTACTTTTGACCCCCCCCAAAGTACCAATTAGATTCACTTTCCTTTCAGAAAAGATACCGTTGAAGAAAATCTAAGCACTTTTACTGTCCTAAAAGGTGATGACAGATACAAAAAAAAATAAAAAAAGGTGGGCAAGTGGGTGTCGCTCTGCTGTACAGTAGGTTACAAGTGGGTAACTGTATAATGGATGGTATTAAATTTGAATTCAATGATATAATATCATTGTATAAGAAAAACGATTCTGAGCGGTGATGGTATGTCAGTCTATGTATAAGGCATATTATATACATATCTATGGTATTAAACAAAAAATTGACCTATAATAGGTACCTATAATAAATTCCAAATTAATCATATCATAATATCCATTAGATACTTATAACGCGTTATACATCAACAAAACCGTGATACTATCATAGATATATAATAGTACACTTTAGAAGTTTCAAGTACCCACGAATAGTATTATTCAATCACAACAAAATAACTAAAATCGTAATTCTTGGTTTAAATATGAAATTTTGTCTAAATTTGAAATTAAAATGTCTGTAAAAAATAAGTGTGTTTATATATTTTTTAGATTTTTTGGTTACAGTATGAATTATTTAAGAGAATCTTTGTTTTAAATTTTCAACTCTTAGTTATAAAAACTGAACATTTTATAATTTTTTAATTCCAACGATTGATAATTTTCGAGATTTTGATAAATTTTGTCAAAATTCCAACTTTAAATGCTTATAAAAAAAAATCGTGCCTATGTATTTTTAAAATTTTTCAACTGATATTGTAACAATATATAAGAAAGCTTGTATTAAATTTTTACACTTTTTGGCCCAACAGATAAAACTTTATTGATATTTATAGAAAAAAAACTAAAAAAAACTGAAAGCTGTAAATGTCCATAAACAGCTCAAAAAGAGTCAAAATATTTCAAAATTGTATGGTGTATAGGAAATGCTAATATAAACATTCAGTGAAATTTTCATGTATCTACAGTTATTCGTTTTTGAATTACAACAAAATAAGGAAATCGCTACATGAGAAATCGAGTGAAAATCCAATGTTGTAAAAATTTGAATTTCAAACGCTCATAAAAATTTAATTTGACTGTCCGGTAGAGATTTTTTTATTGATAAAGGTAGATAATCTTATAAGGAATCTTGTGTTTCATTTTCAAATCTTAGATTTAAAAAGAAAAATTTTTACGAATTCTTAACTCAAAATAATTTGCTAATTTTCGTGATTTTTCCATATTTTGTCAATTTTTGAACTTTAAATGCTTATAAAAAAAATTGTGACTAAGGATTTTTAATATTTTTCATCTGCCTTTGAAATAACGTATTAGGAGCCTTCTATTAAATTTTCAAGCTTTCGCAACCAACAAATAAAATTTTATTGATATTTCTAGAAAAAAAACTAAAAAAAAATGGAAAATGAAAATGTCCCTAAACAGTTCAAAATAAATCAAAATATTTTGAAAATGTTATCGTGTATAGAAAATGCAAATATAAACAACCAGTGAAAATTTCATGTATCTACGGTCATTTGTTTTAAAGTTACACCAATAACCAAATTCGATTTTTTGGAAAATCGATTTTGCGTAAAAATTCCCGTTTTTCCTTAATTTTTATGTTGTTTTTCCCGGCGCTTGTGAAAACTACTGGAAAATGTTTACTTTTGACCCCCCAAAGTACCAACTAGATTCACTTTCCTATCAGAAAAGGTACTATTGAAGAAAATCGAAGCACTTTTACTGTCCCAAAACGTGATGACAGACACAAAAATATAAAAATATAAAAATATAAAAAAAAACATACATCATTGTAAAACCAATACATTCATCGCTCCGCTCAGAATCTAAAATATAAAAACATACATCATTGTAAAACCAATACTTTCATCGCTCCGCTCAGAATCTAAAATTGTTTGCAAATAAAATAAAATTGTTATTATATTACTATTGTTAACGCGCTCGAAATTCTAATGCTGCGGGCCGACCAGAACGATAAACATACTAGCTGGCTAGTAACACACACCGTCGTCTGGGAGATTTTCTCGGAGATCGGTCTATGTGTTGAAATATTCTTATTTAGCTCATTACCAATTCTCGATCGAATCCTAAAATACACGCAAAAATTTTCGATATTCAAAACTTATAAAGTATGGCAAAACAACTAACAACTAACAACTGCGACATCGACCGCGCCGCGGTAAACGTGTTACTAATGGAAATGTTGGAGGACATTATTACGGACAAAATAGAAGGAGCACTTGCCGATAAGACGGAAGAATATCTCGTTCGTCAGGTCGCGCCCATCCTGTATGCCATTGACATGGTCACCACCACTGGTGACGTGCAGACCCTGGAGTCGGAGTCCGGAGACTCGACTCTCGGAGGTGCAGCAGGAGAGGCGTCGGCAGCTGAAGGCGTCGAGATGACCGTCTCCTCGCACGGCGGAGGAATGCCGAGCGGCGACCAAGACACGACTGTACGGGAAGACGGCAAGGCGCCTCCAAAGAGGTGGAAGAGCCTGAGGCGCTTCTTCCGCGGCCTTTGCTGCTTCTGCCGCCGATAAGGAACGTCCGAAGCTGGGCGAAGACGGCCGACAGGAAGACGGCGACGGAATGGAGGGGAGGATGCGGTAAAGAGCACGGACGGTGCGCGGCGGTAAGTCACCCGCGCACGTTCTCCGACCTGCACCCGCAGCGCGACGGGTTAGCTGGCGTGGCGAGCTCGGTCGTCGATGACGCGCGAGACCCTCTGGTGGCTCGGCGAGCGCCCGACCGCAGTCACGGTCACGCGGAGCGACGGCGACGGTGGACGGCGACGGCACGGCGGCTAGTATAGAGGTACCGGGCAACGATTCCGCCCCGACGGTACACCGACTCGGTGCGACGGCGATGGCGACTCGATACGACGGCAGCGGCGGATACCTGGGCACGGGGTGAGTGGTGCGGAGATTTGCGTGCTAGGAACACGGGGACGTCAGCGGCGCCAGACTCGCAGAAACTTCACCGTTTCAGGGTCTGGCGGCGCGTGGCGGCCGAAGGGAAGACGCCAGGGCGAAAATTACTGAGAGTCGAGGATCACGCTGTGGTCCGCTGGCTTTCGCCTTTTCGCCCCGCGGTAATCCCAAGTCGGCCGCTTCGGTCGTCCCCACCGGTTCCGCAACACAGAATCTCACTTCGCTCGCTCCGCGTCTCGGTCTTCGCCGTCCGTCGGCCGAGTCATCACGCCGTCGACCGTCGGTAAGCGCAAGACATCGCGCTGCACTAGCCGCCGTCCGTCGCCTTCAACCGTGGTCGCTCCCGTGGCCGTCTCGGTCTGGCCTCGCCGGCTGGGCAAGGTCGTCAAGCGTCCGAGCAAACGCGCCAGGGACACTCGTCAACCCGCGGGGACAGGTCGGAGAACGTGCAGAGGTGACCAGTGGCCAGCAACACTGCATTTCTGCACCAATCGCCATCTCGCATCCTCCCCCCCTTGTTTATTGTGTCTATCCTGTCCGTCATAGTATTTTTTTTTTCTTTAAACTTAAGTGCTTTCAAAATTCTAAATTGTTAAATTGTTGTTCACACATTTAAATTTCGGTTTTTTTTTCTAATTTGCGGCCTTTTCTACTATAATAAACATATTTTGTGAACACAAGAAAATATTGTTTCTTTTTTTCGTTGTGTTGAGTGTATAATCAACTTTTACAGATTTAACGACTAAAAATCGTTAAAATATATATTTTAAATAAAAAACCTCATTGGTCGATTATACAGAGTATAATCCAAAAGTAGTATCCAAGAGTATGTTCCAAGAAAAATTCAAGCCATCAAGCACTAAAGGCGACGAATGACTGCGGAATAAATCATAAAATAACGCATTACACCGGCGGATACGATATGGACGGTTATATAAACCATACAAGAACTGTAAACAATAATAATGTGTATTGTGTAGAACGCTTAATATAGTCAAATTGACTCAAATAGTTGATACAAAATAATATTTAAAAAAAATCAAAATTGTATTTTACATTGGTAAAATAATAATATAATACTGCATGTCCAAAAATAATATTGTTTGAAAACATTTCGGTTTAGCTGGTTTGAACCATTAAACCCCCGTGCATGTACCGATACCATATTTTCTACATAATTATTGACTTGAGTCGTAATATCCTAATCTGAACAAAACCTGATACCTATCTTTTGTAGTAGGTACTAGGTATAGGAAATCACTTTTTGAAGGTATGTGAGTTTTGACAGTTGTTGTACAATAATATATTAACTAAAGGCATAACCACACATTAGATTTTGCACTGAAATAGGTACATAATTATACATAAAAATTAAAATGTACATAAAATAACATACTACAAATAAAAACGTGTAAACTATATTATTAAGTAGGTATTATGCACTTTAATATTATATGGCCAATGTTTTTTTTTTTCATGTGACATATCGACTGTCTTTTTATTATGATTGTATGTTACCAGTTCTTTCCGTTCGCTACATATCAGTATATTTTATATCCTGCGTAGGATTATTCTATTCTGTGGTAGGACCTCAATACACCAACTTAATATTGCAAATTGTAAATAAAATGTTAGAAAATTGTTACGTATTTTCATCTTGTATCAACTATAAATAAAAGATTTAAATAAAATGTATTTACATGTTATTGTCATAGATGCATACCTATATGTTTAAAAATCAATTAGGTCGAATTTGATAAAATAACATTTTAAAAAAGGTGGGCAAGTGGGTGTCGCTCTGCTGTACAGTAGGTCACAAGTGGGTCACTGTATAATGGATGATATTAAATTTGAATTCAACGATATAATATCATTGTATAAGAAAAACGATTCTGAGCGGAGACGGTATGTCAGTCTATGTATAAGACATATTATATACATGTATATGGTATTAAACAAAAAATTGACCTATAATAGGAATAGGTACCTATAATAAATTCCAAATTAATCATATCACAATATCCATTAGGTACTGGTAACGCGTTATACATCAACAAAAACTGTGATACTATCATAGATATATAATAGTACACTTTAGAAGTTTCAAGTACCCACGAATAATATTATTCAATCACAACAAAATAACTAAAATAGTTATTCTATGTTTTTTAATATGTAATTTCGTCCAAATTTGAATTTAAAATGTCTGTAAAAAATAACTGTGTTCATATATTTTTAGATTTTTTGGTTACAGAATGAACTATTTACTAGAACCTTTGTGTTGAATTTGCAATCCTTAGCTATAAAAACAGAACATTTTATAATTTATTAATTACAATGATAGATAATTTTCGAGATTTTAATAAATTTTGTCAAAATTTGATCTTTAAATGCTTATAAAAAAAAACTGTGCCTATGTATTTTTAATATTTTTCAACTGCTATTGTAACAATATATCAGGAGAGTTGTATTAAATTTTTACACTTTTTGGCCCAACAGATAAAACTTTATTGATATTTATAGAAAAAAAAACTAAAAAAAAATTGAAATCTGTAAATGTCCATAAACAGCTCAAAAGAGTCAAAATATTTTCAAAATTGTATGGTGTATAGGAAATGCTAATATAAACATTCAGTGAATCGCTACATGAGAAATCGAGTGAACATCCAATGTTGTAAAAATTTGAATTTCAAACGCTCATAAAAATTTAATTTGACTTTCCGGTAGAGATTTTTTTATTGATAAAGGTAGACAAATTTATGAGTAATTTTGTATTACATTTTCAAATCTTAGATATAAAAAGAAAAATTTTTACAAATTCTTAACTCAAAATAATTCGCTAATTTTCGTGATTTTTCCATATTTTGTCAATTTTTGAACTTTAAATGCTTATAAAAAAAAACTGTGACTAAGGACTTTTAATATTTTTCATCTGCCTTTGAAACAATATATTAGGAGCCTTCTATTAAATTTTCAAGCTTTTGCAACCAACAAATAAAATTTTATTGATATTTTTAGAAAAAAAACTAAAAAAAAATGGAAAATGAAAATGTCCCTAAACAGTTCAAAATAAATCAAAATATTTTGAAAATGTTATCGTGTATAGAAATTGCAAATATAAACAACCAGTGAAAATTTCATGTATATACGTTCATTTGTTTTAAAGTTACACCAATAACCAAAATCGATTTTTTGGAAAACCAATTTTGCGTAAAAATTCCCGTTTTTCCTTAATTTTTATGTTGTTTTTCCCGGCGCTTGTGAAACCTACTGGAAAACTTTTGACCCCCCAAAGTACCAACTAGATTCACTTTCCTATCAGAAAAGCTACTGATGAAGAAAATCCAAGCACTTTTACTGTCCTAAAACGTGATGACAGACACAAAAAAAAAATATAAAAATATAAAAAAAAACACACATCATTGTAAAACCAATACATTCATCGCTCCGCTCAGAATCTAAAACACACATCATTGTAAAATCAATACATTCATCGTTTCACTCAGAATCTAAAATTCAAACTTTTTGTCATCGTACCAATCAATAAAGTTATGTGACAATAATACTTGAGAGTTGAGAGTGATAGCCTATAACCCAACTGATTTTAAGGTTAGGTTAATGTTATATCTACATTAAATTATTCTTATATCTTAAATAAGGTACCTAGGTACTTATATTATGAACTAGCTATGACTTTTTTTTAACCGTCAGATAACCTTTAACCAAATCAATTTTTTTAGAAACAAGGGCGGTATATTATAAAATCACGGAATGACACACTCAGGAATGTGTAGTATACTGAGTAAAAAATTCAAATTTTTAACACTTTTGATATGCACATGCGCAATATAACTTACTTTTTAAATGACAACAATTATTTTTTTTTAACTATTTTTGTATAAAAAGTTTTTTTCTATTTATAAAATTAGACTAGTTAGAATAAGCTCAAATTTAAATTTATGCATAATCCTCTTTAACGAATTTTTAACTTACAACAAAAACTTAAATCCAAATTTGAATTTCAAATGTTTAACTAAAAAATCATGATTATTTATATTTAATATTTTTAAATAGATATAGGACTTTAGGAGAACAACTTAAGTGAGATATTGTACAATATATTTTAAGCATTTTGACCAAGCCTAAACGTTTTTAACAACATTGCCAAAAAAAATTAAAAAAAATTTTAAAATACCTATTAATAGCAGTAAGAGAGCCAAATATTTTTAAAATTATTTCATGTCTAGTGAATACTAATGAGTAATAAGTAATAACTAATATCATTATTCCATAACAATTTCAAGTCTCTGAGGTTATTTATTTTTACCTTTAGGGCATGTATGACTAACCTCAATTAATTTTCTCACTGTATAGGTAATATGAGCAGATGCCAAATATATATAATATATTATACCTATAACCTATCGTATATATTAATGTGTTTAAATTTTTTTAATAATTAAAAATAGATTTATTAAAGTAAATTTCTTATTAATTTATATGTATTAGCTGTAGTTTCTACTTTGATTATAACTTTTATAAGTAAGATTTATAACCAAATATTAAATAGGTTATATATAAACCTATAACTAACCTATATATATTTTTTTAATTTTGTACTTACCTCTCCTTTAAAGCCGTTACTAGTGAAAAAATTGGCCATCATTGAAAACCTCATTTCGTCGTCGGGTAACGACTTATGGAAACACTCCGGGACGTCATCGGACTTTGTCATGTGAACATGTGTTCCGTTTTCCACACGATCGCCAGTAATTTTAACATTTTCCACGCACTATAATATTATAAATTATAATTGTGTATACTATTACTATACAAATAGTATGTATAATAATTAATATGTACGTTATAAAATAATATTTGAGTACCAAATTTTTTTTTTATTTCATAAACACATTTAACTTTTTTTCATGCTTATACTGAAAACAAGCTCTAGTTTATTTAACTTGATAATAATGATGGGTAGATATTTAAAAATTTTTCTGTTCACATTTCATAATAGCTATTATGTCAATATAACATCATAACGAAAATATTATATAGGTAGGTTTAGACGTCTGACGTATTAATATAGTAACACTATTATATAATATAGGTAGTTTTAAATTTCAATCACCTAAATCACCCAACTAAATTAAAACTTTGGATAAATGTACCTATTTGTATGGTACTGTTACGTGGTATATAAGTATATTACTTTAGCAATAAAAACGTTGTCTATCACTGGTATTACTTATTACGTTATACCTGAAATAGGTAGATTAATAGGTAGGTACCAAACGTCAAACGGGGGTATAGAGAGCATTTTGATGTCAGACAAGACTGAAGACACTTAGTTATATCGAGTACAATATAACGTATATTGAAATAAAATATGAATAATAGGTACCTATATCTAATAATATATATTTTACTTTAACGATGACGTGGTAGCAAATAGTAATACATGGAGCAAGCGCTGAAACAAGATTAGTTCATGTATGTATACATAAATATATAGGTACATGGTATTATACAATGAATGAAAGGTGACACACGGGTCTTGCAGTGTCTGGATTCTAGGATATATGTATATTACTTACGTAAATCGTAAATATATTAATATATATCAGAAGAATAAAATGTAAATACGGTACCTAATCCTAATGGTGTTTGGTGTTTCGCACTATTATACAGTACACCGTATAGGTATATTATATGATTACTAATTAAGTACCTAAGTCAGATAAAGTATTTTACAAGTATAGTGGTGATATTTGTCTACATATTGATATTTTTTTATAATAAGTATTTATACAGGGTTATGCACTAAACATGCTCGCCCACTTTTTTTCTTTTTTGATGCATTTATTCAAATTTTGATTTTTGAGTAAGTACCTACTTAAATACTTAAACACCAGTTTCTTAAATAACTAGATTTTTATGGCATTTAAAGATTGTCCTGTGTCGATGCGAACTTTTTCCATATGAGAACCACATTTTTACTGTAAACATATGTGATTTAATCTATCAGGTCGACTCTCGACACGATCTGTTTCTATAATCTACATCACAATTTTTTATAAATACCCACTAAATACATGTGCTTAACAGTTAACAGTGAAAATCTCATACGAAGTATAAAAAGAATTTTCTCTAAATTTATACTAAATAATTTTAGAATCTGAATTTGATTAGGTACATAAATACATTAGGTAGGATATTAGGGTACCTATTAAAAGACAAAAGAAAGACGAGCATGCGCTTGGTGATGAATCAATCTAAGTAGTGGCAGATATACTCGCCTCACTGTCGGCTCCAAAAAACGGATATGGTCCAGCACACGCTCCGATGATGAACAAAGGATCGGACCCAGTAATCCGTTTTAAATCTTTGACGTTATACAATTTGTCTCGCTTAAACGAAGGTATTAAATTGGTGACGTCGCCGATGTCGAATACGTTTTCGTCGCCACATAGTCCTATATAGGTACGCATTAATAAAATATTTACCTACACATTATACTTCATGGATAATACACATAATATAGGTATATAACTATATAAGTAGGTTAATATTTTATGCTCACCTTCAGAAGTCAAGTTAAACGGTGGTTGGGTTAAATCTGGACATTGAACTACTTCTACACTTGCATTTTCAAAGTTGTTTAATAACTCGGGTAATATGGCTGAAATCAACGTAGAATTTTGCATTTTTAATAACATGATCCTGGAAGTATACCCATATCATTAAATACTAGACATGCATGATGTTTAAATTTCATATAAATTACTTATACAGTTATACCTAAAAGTTATACTTACTTTATCATTTTCGTTAAGAGGACGTTTCACCCTCATTTGTTGTCTCCATCTTACACACGTATGGCATAGCAAAAACTGTTTTGCGCCGGAAAGAACCTAGAAGGATACAGTCATAACTAAGAAACGAAATTTTCACCACATAAAAAAGAGAACTTTGACTGTGCAATATTGTTTTTATTTTTTCGTTATCGGAACTTCAAAAAAAAGTTATTAAAGTTCAAAAAACACAAATAATAATAGATTTTGAAACAATAAGAACTTTTTTGTATAAGTGATATCAAAAAATAAAAACGATATTGCACAGCCAAAGGTCTCCTTTACATGTGGTGAAAATTTCGTTTCTAGTTATGACTGAAGCCTTCTCAGTTCTTTTCCGCGCAAAATAGTTTTTGCTATGCCGTACGTGTGTAAGACGAAGACAACAAATGCGGGTGATAGGTAGGAAATTATTTGTATATTTTAATTTAATTAATATAGGTACCTACCTACAAACTTTTTTTACTGTACTTTATGTAGTTTCCACTAAGTATGAAGCGAAGCATCAAGCATTTTTCAGCTTTTTAGTCAAATAACTTGATATTTGGCCCAAACAATAATTTATAAAAAACAGTAGTGTCCTGAATTTTATCAAAACGTCTCATATGAGTTATTACTATAGATATAATGAAAATAATAAGTATAATGTGAATAATTATATATTATATAGGTATAATGTTATAGACATGGTCTTGACTCGTGGAGTGAGCTGAGAGGGACCGGGGCCGCGGTCCGAGTGTAGTAGCACAGAACAATAGTGGGTACCATACAATACTAGTATTTATAATCAATGGTAATACCTTGGGGGCCACACTATAATACTTTTGACCACTTACCATTAACTTTGTCACGTAACTGTTAGGAGTTATTATTTTTTTTTGCTGTGTTCATCAAATTCTTATATTTAAGATTTATTTTTTAGTTAAAAAAAATTGAGTAGTCCCAAATTTCCGGACCCTCATAAAAATGTCAGGTACGAGGGAATTACCCCCTCCTCTCGCCAGACATGGTTCTATGGATAGTAATTTAATATTTATACATACAGGATTATAGTGTAACAGAAAGGCCTGACAAAAAAAAAAAAAAAAATGAATAGGTACAAGTTAAATGTATGGAAAAAATATACAATTATATGGATAATAAATAATACAAGATTTACTTATATCTGAAAATTCCCAAAAAGAATATTTTGATAAAAGTTATATAATGACGTTTCGAATTAATAAGTCCAAAAAAATATAATATATCGATACCTATTTCAAAAAATGTTGAACGTATGATTTTATATTAATAATGGGTATCTATATAATTTTAATTTTATATAGGAATTTTATGTCTTAATAACTTATTAGTTATATGTTTCGCCGTTTACTCGTTTAATATTTGGGGCTAGATGACTCTAATATAAATTAGTATTTTTTTAAAGCTCCAATAACGATTCTAATATTTCCAACTACTTCTTGGGGAAATTGCTTTTGGGGAATCTTATAGGTTCGTTCTTAGCAAACAATCTTTATATTATAGTATATATTATATTATATTATACTATAGTATAATACGTATACCGTATACGAAACAAATACAGGTGAAGATTTTAGATTTAATACTTACCTAGTATTGTTACCTTTGTAGTGCCCTGCGATTGCAGAATAAATACATTTAAGATATATGAATGGACTGTTTTTTTATGATAAAAACCTATTTTGATTAGGTTCGTAAAATAAAAATATAATATAATATAATTTCTTTTTTCTGTGAATTATACTCAACCGAAAATTCAAATAATTTGATAAAGAAAACAGATGAGTATTTTAAAGTTCCACCAAATGAGAAGGTGTAAAATGCTCTATGGGTACAATTGATGTAGACATGCAAGTCGTTCAGTTGATTTATATTTTTTTTAAAAAAATATTTTATAAAAAGCTTGAAAGTACCTATCTACAAATACTTTTTCAAATAAATATTTATATTTGTATTTGAATATCTTTTACAAGACTACTTTTGTGTTATTTAGAACCTACTAGCAACTTTCAAACAAATTCAGATAAACACTTATCAACATTTTACTTTAAAATAGGTAAATTGTATATATTGTTGTTTGTATTCGACAACTATAAATATGCATCTTCTGACTTCTGATCAATGCATGGAAAATGTTGTTCTTATGATCCAAAGTAAACATACAAAAAGTTGAAATGTGGTTTCAATACCAAAATAAATTGTTGATTTTAATACTAAATGTTCAACATTTAGTACCTACCTATATGATTATTTTTAAGTTGATTTTGCTGAAAGGCTCATCGGTCATTATATTAAATTATAATTAATGTGGGAATTGTTCGCACACAAGTATTATTATTATAAGTATGAAGATGTTTATAGGAAATTAATTTATATATTGAAAAAATAAAGTCACGTACAAAATACATACCTAATAGAAATAATTAATAATGAACCCTATTTTTAAAAAAGTTCACATCAATGTCACCAAGTTTTTACCTAACTCAGGTAAATATAAATTCACTCGCCTAAACGGTATAAATGATAGTCGCACAAATGACCACCACCTATAAATCCATCCCAGAGTTGTTATTTTTAATAAATATAATTACTAAATTACCTAGGTACCTAGTTAATACTCGTAGACTAATTAATAATTATAATATTTATTTAATATAGACAATAGAAGAAAAAAAAGTTTTTGTTATTCAAATATAAGTACTTAATTTTAATAAGAGGTTTAAAAAATATCTGGATGCATAAAGGAAATCTGATCTGTGACTACTTTTATTGTACTTAGGCTATAAAGTTTTAGTAGCCATTGACGAAACTTGAATATTAAAATGTGAATTAAATAATAATTAATAAGCAAAATATACTGAAATAATACCTATGGGTTAGGTTAGGTATACCTACCTTCAATAATGCATCTCAAAGGCGGTGTGTTTAGTTTGAAGCGCACTATGGGCAATTCGTTCATGTCTAAGGTACTTGGAAAAGTGTAACTTGTGGTGGCCATTTCGGAGAAATCGGTATTTATTTTTTTAAATCAAATAAAAAGAAACTAACAATAATCATAACTCACGATTATATAGTACCTACACCGTGGATATTTATTTCTGCAATTGATTATATACAATATACTCAGGTCGATTATGTAATGATTTAGGCATATATATACCTATACTCAATTATTACAGCATCTGTAAGCTGTTAGAACGTGCGTATAAAAAAACACGACGAGTAATAAGTACCCACGTAATACATACCTAGTACATAATCATTGTCGTTATATATATATAGGTAGGTAGGTACTTACAAATAATATATATATTTTAGATTATGAGCGGAGCGATGAATGCATGAATGTATTGATTTTATGAAGATGCGTTTTTTATGTGTATTGAAGTGTACACGATTTATAATAAGTTGAAAAAATGATTTGATAGTTACAAGATTATTTTTAAGCTATCGCCTATTTAAACTACGATTTAAGAACCTAATCGCGCCGTTATACGGTAGGTAACTTTAGCTACATAAGATAATTACAAATTAGGTAGAATACTATATTATAGTACCTATATTAGTATTATAGTTAATAATACCTATAGTAAAATATAAATGAGATGTTTCCGGCAAACAATATAGTACCTACAATTTAGTAAAACAGTAATTATGTAATATTATTGTATTGTATTAGGTATATATTTACTATATTTATATATATATTTTTTTTTTGTTTTAGGCATCCACAACTGAGGTCATTAGATTGTGGAACTGTGGGGGAGGGTTCTGTAGGTTTTGACTTTTGAACACGTGTGTGTTTGTTTTGGCAGAATTTTTAAGTGGGCACCCATAGGTATCTGCCAATCCATTCTCCTATATTTATATTATAAAAGATATAATACACATATATATAGTGATTATTATAGTGGTCACTGGTCTGCAGATATTACTAAAAGTGTATAACAACTGTTATAATTATTGTCAGTGTAGATATAAGTATTAGGTACCTACCTATAGATTATACCAGATGTAATTTCCGGTACAGATGTTTATTAACGTTTAGCCGAAACGAAAGTAACTACAGTCTACAGGTGCTTGGTATATTAATAATTAATGACGAATTTTCGAAATTGATTACAAAAGATGTTCATTCGCATGACCTAAACCTAATACAATAATACCTATAGTTCTAATTTCGAAGACCACTGTATAATAATGTGTTGAAAAACGCATACCTACATTTTAATCACTTTATTATTATATTATTCTATATAATTAACAATGTTTTTATTTATGATAATAATTAAAGCATCATAAATACTAAAAAATCCGATACAAACTATATGAACGAAATACAAAGTTCTGTAAAATAAAAGATATATATTTCAATATTTGCGAAGTTAACGATTGTGTATAGAATTTACTTTTTAACAATGTATTTAACAGAACTACCGTCAACCCGGGTGACTTGGAACTTGGAGGTGACTTGGAACAATTGCGTTATTTTTTGATAACAGCGGTTAATTTTCATAGAGTAATATAGAGAGGCCGTTTCCACTGAATAGTGATGCGGAAACTGTGGATAATAATCAGTGTCACCACCAATAAAATACAAAAAATTGTACTCGTCATTTTGTATCATAATTCAAGCCATACCATAATGTTACTATGTACAATGTACAATGTTACAATAAATGATGAAACAAAATATGTCAGGAATAATTTAAAATCCTATCTGCTCTTTCTCAGTGGCGGTTTTTAGGGGGGGGGGGGCGAAGGGAGCTCTCACCCCCGCCCCCGCCCCCCTTAGATTTTTTTTTGTATGTCCTTTTTTCAAATGAAATTACACTAAATGCTTGAATTACTATAATTATGGTGAGGAGGCCCAAAAATAGAAAATAGCCCCCCTTTGATGTTTTATCAAAACCGCCACTACTCTTTCTAAATATTCTTTTTTACTGTGTATAATAAATATTTACTACCAACTAATATATTAAATTTCAGATTCAAATACAATCATAAAATTACCGATTGGCGTTTATAAATAAATACAAATACATAATATTCAATCTGTAAAATATTTATTAACTTTTTTAACCATACTTATTTATAATACAATATTACAATGTGTTTATTAGTTGTTATTACATTAATACAAAATATGTATACAACACTTTACAAAGAAAAGAAGGTTATTGTCCTTTAAAAATCGTGAGTTTGTTATACCACATTCTTAGTGATGGTGTTTCGTTATGGTTTTTTAAAGTGTAATCAATTTTTAAATTAACGTAGGTTGATGTAATTGATTTTATTAATAAAGTTATGTGATCAGTTAATGGACTTCTTGTTTCATGACTATGAGTTTTTAATGATGCAAACAAGTTTGAGTTGTATAAAAAATGGGTTAAGACTTCTGACTGAATTTGTAATTTATTGACTGCTTTAATCCTATAGCTGTATTTTTTTAATACTTTTTCAGTTTTGAAACAAATATTCATGACGCTGTCACTTGGGTAAATTAAACCACCTCTATCACCAACCTTATTTTTTAGAGTAATAAAAGAGTTTAAAAAACATGCTTTATCAGTAGCACACAATGCATATTTGCAGTTATTACATTTAAGTGTGTTGGTAAGTTTATGAACTACAAATCCAGCTACATAAGTTATAACTTCTTTTGAAAAATAACTAAAAGAATAATCACTATTACTCACAATATAGTCATGATCCATTATAAATGAATTTATATTTTGTGAATTTTCTTCCTCCACAATTTTATCTGAATTTATATTTGTTGAATTGTTATTCAATACTGTGACTGGATCTGAACTAGAATAATGTAAAATATCGATGTCTTCTAAAGGTATACAATTGCCAGTATTAAATTGCTTCATGTCAGTGGTTCGTATAACTAATTTTCTGTAGGCAGAGCGAAACTGTCTTACTGTTGGGTTATTGTTGAACCCACCATGGGAGCGAATACTACAGAAGAATATTTCTAAATGGTCTTGACTTACTTTATAAGCTTTAATATATGACAGTTTATTAGACTCAATTAATGTTGAGTATAATTGCAATAAACTATTTAAAGAAACAATGAAACCTATAAAACCAGTTTTGCGTTTAGATTCAAGTACAGGTATAAAATTATTATCACTCTCTAAGATTTTAAGACCTTTGATATAAGTACAGAAATGATTTGTGAACAATTTAATTTCTTCAATATTTTCTTTGCAAAGTGCTTTTTTGGATTCAATGCAATTGATAGATCTACTATTTAATATATCAAACACCTTATTAAACATCTCAATAAATGAAATTGTAGCACCTGCATTACTAAACTCATGAATTTTAAGAGTATCTTTGCAAAATTTAAGTGCGTCTGCGACTGATTGACTTAGTAGTTGAGTAGCAAGTTTTACTTTCATTTTCTGTTTAAAAAATAGTATATGGTTTTTTCTTAATTTATTAGCTAGGTGACATCCTTCCTGCTCCTGTAAGTAACATAAACGTTGAACATATTCAAAATTAATTTCATTATTTTCATAATCCAAGAATATTTTCTTTTCACCAAATGCGTTGCGGACCAATTTGATCATATGTGCTGGATCAAATATTGCTACAATTTTCGAGTCATCATATTCGGAAGCAAATGAAGTATTTAATGCATCAACTGTAAAGTTACAACCTAAAAGCTTTGCAGCAGTTATATTAGAGGAACAGCCATCAAATGTTAAACTAATAATATTGACACCAGTGTTAGACAACACATGCAATGCATGACGAACAAGCTCTACTTTTTGTGCACTGTTCAAACTATTTGCTAAAAAGTAACCAATTGGCAATTTCCAATTTTCGTTAATAGAAACAACTAGAAAAACTAAACATTCTTTAGCTACTGCTAAACTGTCATTATCTATTCCACTTCCCATGTCAACTCTACCATAATATTTACCAGTAGTTCTATCATACTCTAGATGTTGGCGTATTGCCATTTCATCCATTATTAATGCACAGAACACAGGATCTGATGAATTCCTCACTTTCAGTTCTAAAAGTTTCAACGATTCCATTGTGAAGCCTGGTTCAGCATTGAAATGACTATACCATTTGCTAAGCGTGCGCGGATGAGGTAATATTGTATTAAATTGATCTCTGACATACTCATAAGCTTTTCCAGAAAAAAAGTGCAAAGACAAAGCAAACTGGCGAACAGCAGGACTATACCTTTTGGGAATTTTTTTACCCAAATTTTTTTTTGTCCAATTAGTAACAAGATCTTTGTGCTTACCAAAAGATTCTAAAAGTGAAACACTAGTCTCTTCATCAACAAAATTTTGATTTTTGATGTCATTAATTATGGTTTGCATATTGGCAATTTTTTTATTTTTTCGTCGTATGGTTTGTTGTAAACTCTTTAATTTCTTGTTTTTTATAACTATCTCTTTGGAGAGTTGCCGAACGCTACGTTTCAAACATATACGACGTGGTGTGTCCTCAATAGCGATCTCACTGGCAGCCATTAATGCAGCTTCAGATTTGTTCTAAATAAAATTAATAATAGTAAACAGTAATAATAATAATTTCAACATATATTTTAATTTAACAAATCATATTTATTTATTTATTTAACGCCAAACGGCAATTTATAGATACATTGTAATAGTTAGTAGATTAATAAGAGATGATGATAATGAAATAATATACATGGAAAACATAGTTATAATTATAGACTTAAGTTTAAACTTATACTAAACAGTGTTCAATTAAAAAGAGTACATGCTAAGGTAAAATAAAACTAAAGAAAAAAACATTCAGTAAAGATAAATAATAACATAGTTAGCTACAGATCAGGAGGTGTTAAGTAGGCGGAGCATTCTATCTAATAGATTATTATGGAAGAAATTAGTAAGGTGAGAGGAGACAAGGTATAGAGAGTGATTTGTAGTGAAATGCACAGGAACGCGGAAAGAGATAGAGGACAGAAGGTTCGGGGCATCTATTGAGAGGTGATGAATGAGAGGTCAGCATCTATACAGCAAGAAGCAATATTACCATCATATTTTCATCAAATTTGTCAGAATCAAATGAAGATGTTGATGGCTCATTCATTGAATGTACCTCGTTGACTTCTATATTTTGTATAGGCAACTAAAAAAATTAAAATAGGTATATTATACTATTATAAAATACATAGTATGGAAATATATAAATATTAAATAAAAATGTCTACACAGGATATTTAATTTTAAATTTAAATTAAAATACTATCATTACCGAAACATTTTTATTTTGCATATTACATTAGTTAATTTTAATATAACTACTAACTTTTGACAAAGTAGATGTTTCATCCAAAGGAAACACACCTAATTCCACATCACTTATTAAAGATACCTAGAAAAGCAATAACATAATAAGTACAGTCATATTATTATTAGAATAGTTAACAATGTACGTAAATTAATACTAAAATAATTATTTAACTTAACAAGAGTTTTATCAACTTTTATTTTCAAGTAAATATTTATTTAATTTAACAATTAATGTTACCATCATATTTTCATTAAGTTTGTCAGAATCAAATGAAGATGTTGATGGCTCATTCATTGAATGTACCTCGTTGACTTCTATATTTTGTATAGGCAACTAAAAAAATTAAAATAGGTATATTATACTATTATAAAATACATAGTATGGAAATATATAAATATTAAATAAAAATGTCTACACAAGATATTTAATTTTAAATTTAAATTAAAATACTATCATTACCGAAACATTTTTATTTTACATATTACATTTGTTAATTTTAATATAACTACTAACTTTTGACAAAGTAGATGTTTCATCCAAAGGAAACACACCTAATTCCACATCACTTATTGAAGATACCTAGAAAAGCAATAACATAATAAGTACCTACAGTAATATTATTATTAGAATAGTAAACAATGTACGTAAATTAATACTAAAATAATTATTTACCTTAACAAGAGTTTTATCAAAATGTAAAATATCATTTTTTTTATTTATTGTTTCAGGTACTGTTACTGGTACAGTTGTAGTAGTTTCAGTAAAAGATTGTTTTGCCTAAGAAAAATATTATTATTATTAGATTAGTTATATGTATAAAAAAATATTAATGCAATAATTATTGTAAACTTGCATATTTTATTCGACCGACAACAATTGATGGAAATACATGTTTGTATAATAACTTTCTATGTTGTTTCATTACAAAACATGATTTCTCAAAATGTAATGAACAAATTACACTATATTTGGTCACGTCTTTTGGATTTAGATAGTTTTCTACTAAAAAATTATCCCACTTTTCTCTAATATTATCTTTAGTAGGAAACCTAAAAAACAAACATTACACTATATTTTCAAACGTCTAGATATATATTTTTTAAATCTTAAGTCTTAACCATACCTGTGAAAAGATATATTAGCAGATTTAGAATTTAGATTCTCTGTTCTTCCACATACAAGAGTAACAAGACAACTAGGCATTATGAGGATTACTACTTTAAAACACGTCTAGTCAAACATAAAAAATAATGAAATCGTAAAATCGTAAAATGTAAACCGAATAGTTTAATCGTGGTAAAACCAGAGTCATAACTCATAGATCGTAATTCGTAATCGTTAACGGATGCAATGTCGCAATCATTATAGAGTATTACTATATGATAACATTGCTGATAACATTTAACAAGCGGTACGTTTTACAATATTTTGTACAATATTTTTTTTATCAATAACGAAGGCCCTGTTAAATATCCACATTTTGTGCATCAATTAGTTAACATGGGCGATATACCCAACGGCCTCTCTATATTACTCTATGTTAATTTTATGCTAGATAAGGGAAATAAAATTCTGTCTCCACAAAAATATTTTTCGGAAAGTTTTGTAAAAGTTTTGTTATCATCGAAAATGTGTTATCTCTTATCAATAAGCCATGTGATACAACCATAATTTAGTAAAAAAAATCCAAATTTTCAAATCCTAATTTAAGAGCTTTGAAAGTGTAACTTGAGCTTCTAAAATCAAGGTATTGTTATTTTTTAGTGAATTCCTAATGTGTTGTTAGTGTTAATCGCTTAGTAGAATTAGGAAATAATATTATTTACATTTTTCAGGGTTGTTTTTATTTTAGGTAAAAAAAAAGTGGGTCACTTGGAACTATTATAAATGTATACCTGGCAGTCGTACGTACCGAAATTTACGGTATTTAATTTCGGTAATTATACCGAAAAAAAATGGTTTTTAACACTTTTTTTTTTTTTAAAAATATTTGTAGCGTTCCAAGTGACCTTCCCACATATGATTAAATGCAATCTGCATTTGAAAAAACGCATGTTCCAAGTCACCCAAAAATCCGGGTGACTTGGAACAAGCACTTTTTATTTTTTTTTTACCTTAATTTACTTAAGACCTTAATTTTTTTTTTGCTAAATCTATTCCTTGGAGGTGTGCGACACTGCATGATTTTTTACAGAATTTAATTATCAATAATGAATGAGTTACAGTAGTTAAAAGGTGTCGGAATCGTTCCAAGTCACCCGGGTTGACGGTACTGTAAAGTATATACTACGCTCATAAAAATTTAATTTGACTTTCTTATGGACATTTTTTTTTTGATAAATGTAGATAACCTTATAAGGAATCTTGTATTACATTTTAAAATCTTAGTTGTAAAAAGAAAAATTTTTACAAATTCTTAACTCAAAATAATTTGCCAATTTTCGTGATTTTTCCATATTTTGAACTTTAAATGCTTATAAAAAAAAAACTGTGACAGGATTTTTAATCTTTTTCATCTGCCTTTGAAAAAATATACTAGGAGCCTTCTATTAAATTTTCAAGCATTTTTAACCAACAAATAAAATTTTATTGATATTTTTAGAAAAAAAACTAAAAAAAAATGGAGAATGAAAATGTAACCAAACAGTTCAAAATATATCAAAATATTTTGAAAATGTTATCGTGTATAGAAAATACAAATATAAACAACCAGTGAAAATGTCATGTACCTACGGTCATTTGTTTTAAAGTTACACCAAAAACCAAATTCAATTTTGTGAAAAATTCCCATTTTTTCTTAATTTTGAAAATTACTGGGTATTTTAAATTTTGACCTTCCCAATAACGATATTCACTTTCCAATCGAACAAGAAACTGAAGTTGAAAATCGAAGCATTATTTGGACTACTTATCGTGTACATAGACATAAAAATTTAAAATTTAAAAAAAAAAAAACACATCATTGTAAAATCGATACATTCAACGTTTCACTCAGAATCCAAAATCAATAAATAGATATCTTTTACAGACATAATATTATGTTCAAATTACATATTAAAACCAAGAATAAGTTATTTTGTTGTAATTTAAAAATATTATTTGTGTGTATATGACACTTTTAGAGTACCTACCTATATATTTTTTTTACACACAAATACACAATAACATTTTCAGATATATTTTTTTTGGGAAAAAATGATTTTAACCTATTATTGTACTAATCACTAATGCCTACCTAATAGCATTGATTATAAATACTATTAAAACAATTATAAAATTACAGTACCTACTTATAAGTTATAACCAATGCTAATATAGTAAAATAAATTACTTTAATGAGTTTAATCACAATAATATCGTTAAATAAACTTAGTAACATTATAGGCTGGCCATCGTTTTCGTATACAATGATTTTGTACCATAGAATTCAAATGGAACACCATCTATTACAGTAGACTAACTTGTAACTTACGCCTGTATAGAAGAGTGACACCCACTTACCAGCTTTTTTAGTATTGTTACTATTATAAAATATGTTTTATAATTTTCTATTCCATTGTGTAATAACTAATAAGTAAATGTTTATGCTTTTCACTAGAGTAAAATTATCAGTCTTAAAGGTCTTACCTCAGAGTATGGTTCTTGTATAAACTTGTTGAATATGGGTTTAACTACTATTATTGATGGTGGATAACTTATTATATCGTATTACCAATTATTACTATTTACTATTATGAATAGTAATTCACAATAATATTTTAATAACAAGAAATAAAAATTAAAATGATCTTTCTATTAGATCAAATTCTGGAGTTAGCAGTTATAGCCACTTCAAACAATTTCTTCTTATAGAGATAAAAAAATAATGTCAGATTATAAATAGTTTCTAAACAGCAATACCTTTGTTACATTTCCCACTACCGGATAATATAACAAACAGGCAATTAATAGGCAAATAGCTTGACATACTTTTAATAATATAATTCCTTAATAAACCAGTGATTTTTTTAGGAACCATCAGTACCTATGCGAGTACATATAGGTATTAAGGTATTATATTATAATTTAAACCTTAATAAATTGTTTTCATTGAATTTAAAATCCAAAGAAAATGAGGAACATTCTTTTATATTTAATTAGGTTAAGACTAAAAATATTATACCTATAACAGTGAAAAATGTATAATACATATACTGATATACTTATACTTACATATATTTTTGCTAAAATGACAAAAACTTTTTTGCCTAATATTTTTTTAACATGTCTTTGGGCCGTGTATAGATATTTTATTTTTCTAACCGATTTTTCAAAATAGAAGTTTTATGTTGTCATGGTTATTTATTAACAAAAATTTATGATTCATAGATTTTCTTTGTAGTTTAAAAATATTGAGAAGTGTAATATTATGGTTTTTATAACATACATGATGCATGTATTTGTATTAAAATAAATATTTATTACAAAATTAAGATCTACTTCTGTTAAAATGTTGGTAAATTATATATTTATACAAGAGAGTAGGATTAAAGTCTTCATTCTTCGGTGAATTTTGACCATTGGAATTATCAATAAAATAATATTGTAATAAATGTTGCTTATTTTATTGTGAAAAATGTAATAAAATATGAATAATGATTATTAATAGTTAGGTACAATAAAATCACTTTTACATTCATTTCATTTATTATTAAATAAAATATTTTTATATTAACAACATAATATTATAATATTATAGTCTTATCATAATATTGCACTTAATACAAATAAAATGTATTTCTTTAATTTTTTTTTTTTTTATATACATTTAACTTCAATAAAAATAAGCTGCTGTATGTAATTATATTTTTCATATATTTTTTTTTCTAGTATATAAACTCATTTCACAATAATACAAAATTATATTTTATGAATAATACATTTATTATTTATCATCGAATTTCTAACAATAAAAAAATTTTTACACAGGCACTTTTTTAAATTTCCCTTCACCGAAAAGCCACAAACATAATCGGTCCATTATATAAGAACCAAAGTAATCTAAAATAAGTACACTTATTAAAATAACTCGAAATTCATAGGGAAATTGAACAATTTCAAATTGCTCATTAAGTCCTTGCAAAGTACCCATACTTAAAAACAATATTACCATAATTGTCCCAAGTGTACTGTATAACAATGGCTTGTTTTCTATTAAATTTTCCATGAACGGCCTTCCTCGATAATTGACTGAAAAGGTAGAAATTTGCAATGCCATGGAAATAATAAATACTGCGCTGTTCACCACATTTGGTTTAAATTCGTCTACATCTGAATCTACCGAATCCAAATCTGTACTATTGGATAATAAACTTTCATTGGAAAACGGCAGAGTAGTATTCACAGGATCATTTTCCGCATAAATACCAGCTTCTTGGACTAAGAACACTAAACTACAAAAGTGTATAATAAATTGTAGTAATACAGTCGAAATTGTATATATGTTGAATATATTTGGCAGTGGCCTCTGCTTGGATAAAACTTTTAAAGGTTTAGACCGCGAAATAAATAAAAATGAAGCTGCTAACAACAATCCCTGCAGTGTAGCTTGAGAATCACTAAATTTTATACCCTTAACATAAAGTACAGACTGACTATAAGCAGCAATAAGAGCATTAAGCGCTAATATTTTAAACATCTGAAGTGTAGTAACCAATGTACAACGACCTTGTTTAATCACATGACAAACACAAGTTACAGATGAAAATTTACTTGTAAAAGGAGCAGCAATACTAGCGTCCCCTGACTTCACCACGGTCACAGATTCTTCATCTATTTCTTTCATTAGTCTTTTCATATGATCACCAACATTTTCTCCTTGTCTTCTTGATTTATTGGCAAACATATCTTTCTTTAATTTAAACTTTTCTTTTCCTCTAGCAAGTATAGCGATACCAACATGTGCATGTTTTAAGGCGCCAACATCGTTAGTACCATCTCCACACATCAACGTGGAATAACCTAATTCTTTTAAAGTTACTATTATAAATTCTTTCTCTTTGGGAGCCACTCTAGCAAACACACAGACATGTGGTAAAATTTTTTTTAATACATCCTTGTGATTTTGATTTAGGAAAGCTAATCCATCTCCCGTCAAACATAAATCATACGAATCAACTAATTCTTTAATACTTCCATTTAATGCGACTTGAATTTTGTAACTATCACTTATCCAACACCACATGTTGTTGGTTTCTGAAAGTGTCAAAATGATTCGACTTGAAGATCGTGTGAAATTTAATTCATTAGCTACATAACATGCAGTCAATGCATTATCTCCAGTTATCATAGTTACCATATGGGATGAGTTCAAAAGTTCTTTAATAACATTCTCTGAATCTTGTTTCAATGGACATGAAACTACTACAAACCCAACAAAATTTAAATCACATTCCAAGTCTTCTCTCTTTAAATTTTTTAAATCATTTGGAATGGCAGTCATTTCTTTTCTAGCGAGTGCTAATACTCTAGCTCCTCGACCAGCTAGTTCAAGATATGTACTATCATAATTATTAGGAATATTTAGTAACATTGACCTCAGCACTTCAGGGGCACCCTTGACACTTGCTATATGTATTATTTTATTTGTTGTCTTCGCACATTTATAAGATGCTAAAACAGACATTCTCTTTAAAGACGAAGAAAAATAAAATCTATTTAATATTTTCAACGGCGATATCTTTGATTTCTTTGGTACAATAAAATCATTTTTGGTCAAAATCCAATTTATTGCGTTCAAAGAGGCTTTTTCAACAGGATCCCCTACTAATGTATCCTCCAGTTGGACCAATGAGTGACAAGATGCTAAAACTTGAATAGTATGTTCAGGGGCTTCGATCATTGGAATCATATCTTTTTCAACACCAGCTATACCTTCAACAATTAAAGCATCTTTGGTTAACGTGCCAGTTTTATCAAAACAGCATATTTCTACTTTTCCAGCAAACGGAATTCTAAATGGTTCAGTACAATATATTCCAAGTTTGGATAAGGACAAAATTGATGAATTTACAGCCAATGATAATTCAACAGGTAGTTCTGGAGGTATAACAGAAGTGAGAATAAGGGTACATTCAAGGAATAATTTATAACGACTTCTATTTGGATCCTCAGTGCCTTTAATCCACAAATAATAAGCTGCAGCAATTGCAAAAATTAACAAAAATAAAATAAATGCCAATGTTTCCATATTATTTGCAGTGACATGCTTGACACCAAACAATATTGTCTGTAGTAGATTACCTTGCGATGTGTTAAAACCGGTTCGTAACACATAAGCAATACAGCCATTGTCTGGAGGGGCACGCACGCTTGATGTTGCTTTCATAGGAGAAGTATGTTGAACTACTTTTGTACCACTAAATAAAATATGTAATTTCTTATCAGATTCAAAATCTAAATTTCTTGTATGATCGGCAATATTTTCAATAGATTCTTTCATCTGCGGAATAGATTCGCCAGTGAGTAAACTTTCATCAACGATACATGAACCTCTTAAGAGTAATAAATCACAAGGAACAGTTTGGTCGTTATTGGTTCTTGTAATAGATACAATATCGCCAGGCGTAAGTTCATCACTTAACAACGACTGCCATTTTTTATTTCGAAACACATGCAAATGAATTGGTTTATTACCCATATTCCTGATTTCTTCCATGTTACGTAACTGTTGCTTGACTAAGGTACATTCAAATAGTACCAACATCGCTAAGGTAAATATGGAATAGTACCAATACTTATCAAAGCACCACAAAGCAATACAAAATACTTGAAATACAAAAAAAGGAGCTGTTGCCCTTTCAATAAACAAATCATTAAACTTAGGTAATTGTATATTAAGGCGATTTCGACCATACAATTGTACAGCTCTAGATAATTGTTCATCGCTATTGTAGCCTTTACAATTCCCATATTGTTCTATTGTATTAGCAATTGGAAATTCTAAAGAATGAAAACATTTCTTGTCATCATTCCATATATATTTAATTTCTTGGTACCTGAACCATGTAACGGTTTTCAGGTCTTGGTCTTGGAATGTATTTAACATCACTAATTCGGTGAATCCATTATTTGGAGTAGGTAATACTTTGACCACGGAAGCTCCCTTTGGGGAAGTGACACGTCGACACGATAATAGACATCTAAACGATACCGACCAATAACAGCTTAGTGAACACAATATTTGGCCGACACCGATGGCAAAAATACCAGCGAAAAAGAAATCGAGTAGATTGTCGGTGAAATAACAAGCAGACGACCACAAGATGTAGAGAACAACAAACGGAAAGATGGCTCCATGAAATGCGACAGGACGGGGCACGTATAAAGACACCGAGTCGATCAGATTGTCAATAGCCATTGTCGCGGCGTTGGAATTAGAAAAACAAATATAAAACAAAACAATTAACAATTAGTTATTGATACTGACTAGCAAATAACAACGGTACCTTGGACGCGTCGGAACTGGGGCGGGTGGTTCACGTCCAAAGAGCCAAAGTGACTGCACGGTTGGCCATTGTCGTGCGGCGTGAGATCGTCGGAATGAGGACCGGCGGGCACAGAATGGGCGTAAAGTTGTTGGCGACTGGAAACTACGTACTGAATGCTGATGTTAACGACCGAAAAGTTGCACTGATGTTAGACCGGTGACGGTGACGTATGATTGTGGTAGTCGGTTCGTCTCTGTCGGGAAAGCTTCTCACCGAGACCCGACCGGCAATAGGTCGGTAGTGCATCAGTGAACAGTAGTCGTAAATCGAAAACGTTGTTCAATATTTAATTTACGTTCGAAAAGAGATTTAATTTGGTAAAAACTGAAAACACTTGACGAGGCCTGGTAGAGAATTAATTAACAAGCCACGAGCGAGCGAAGTAACCATTTACCTTACCATTATACGTGATTATACCATTATCTTTATCAGTGAATTTATAATACTGCTTAGTGCTTACAACTGCTTACCACGGTTGTAGCACAGAATAGATGAAATCAGAATGGACACTCTCCAAAAATTTACATGGGCTCTTATGGCAGACACGGTATTTTAGCCTAAAGTGCCACCAGTGTTACCAAAAAGTACAGTAAAAAAAATATTGTATATAATTTTATTATTTCGACCGAAGAATTGGCGGTTGCTTTGAAAATTCTATAATTAACGATATAATATATTTTCAATGGATAATGTATATTTCATTAATAAGAGTAATAATATACTAATATTTATATTTAATATTTCATTAATATAATAATATGAAAGTATTAAGTAACTGCAGGTTTATGTATGGCAGCTAATGCAATCTACAGATATGATTGTCGACCTTCCAATAAAAGTAATTCCCTTATCGCGGTAATTGTTTTCAGTTTTCACGGAAATACCCGTGGTTTTTTTTTTGTACTCCCCATACAAATTAAATTACTTCTGACAAATATAGTATAATGTATATTTGTATTTGTATAGTTACTCCAGTGACTCAGTGACAGTGTAGTATGTGATGTAATTGAGTGCGCATGTCGTTTATTTATTGAATTATTTACTTTTACATCTTTTTATGTTTAAACGAGAATTATTATAATGATATTTACAAAACTATAGGGGTTAGGTATGTATAATATTTAAATTAGATACAATATTAAACAAAATGTACTTCTCTACTATCAAATATACAGTGACTGGCGGAGATTGCGCCACTAAAACTATTTAATTATTTTACTAACCAACTTCAATTTGGCGAACATTTAAAAGTGAGTTGAATTGTAAACTAAATATATTTATGCAAGTCACATACTATGTGTTAAGGTGGCAAGTTATGAGAACACAAGAAAAGTTGTAGAAGCTTATAAACAAAATTAACTTTTTAGTTTTTAATTAGTTACCTAATGCCCGCTTTTGCATATGGACCATAGATCTTTATAATATAAAATAAATAAATAAGTTTGATACCTGTAATACAACCACATCGTTTGATAAACACAATTATTTGCAAGTATTAAAATAAATGCCATAAGTATAGCTTATTTGATATCTCTTGCAATAACCTATTGTAAAAATGTAATTTCTTCAATGTGCTATAGAGTATAGATAATTGTGGGTAAAATCAACCAATAGTCAATAAGAAAAAGAAAAAAATACACGAACATGATGTAAAAAAAATTATTTTATTTACAAAATAACTGCATACAAATTATTATTGTTTAAAAAAAAAAAAAAAAACCAAATATAATATATTTATTAAGAGAGCTGCAGTCGATGTAAATAAAAGTTGCTTTTAGACCAAAAAGCCAGACAAGGTTTTCTTCAGTTTTGCCTGGCTTTTTGGTCTAACAGCCAATTTGTTTTCATCGACTGCAGCCCCAATAAGTTTTATTTTATGATATGGAATTTAAATATATTTAAAAATATTAAAATAAACAAAATTTATGTTTAGATTGGTCAAATCTAATGTTGAGCTCTGAAAAGAACTAATTTCAAATACAAGCAAGCTTGTAAAACATTAACACAGCGATAGAACACTGAAACAAAAAAAAAAGGTAAATAGTTTTATAAATGTTGTAGTACAGTTAACTTTCTATTTTTCAATTTCTTCTCTGAAACTAAAGCCCTGTTTAAAAATTTGATACCTGTAAAAATTCTGAAGCGTGTAAATAAATTTATTAAATATGATTTTTCAAAATATTCACAGGGATGATCATACGGTACATTACAAAAATCAATTTTCAACTTAGCCCCAACGCCTTCCTCATAGGCAATAGAGGGAAAGTTATTGATGAATATATTCTCTAACTCAAAGATAAAATTATAAAAATCATCATCTGGCATCATCAAATTTCCAAATGTGGAATGGTTATTAGTAGAATATGCTTTCATAAATGACAGTAGAAAGGATTTATCCAATTGTTTTTGGTACCGAGCATACTCAATACAAATATCACAGGTATGTTTTTCCAGACATTTTTTCATTAAATACCCACACACATAGGTAAATGTATTTATTTCAGGTAAATCTAAATGTCTGTAGTCAACTGTACCTACAGCAATACCTTTAAACATAAATAGTTCTTTGTTTGGTTCTTCTAGAATAAGAGATTTACTAGAGGATGGTTCAACTGAGCATAATATTTGGTCAAAATCATTTATACAATTTGCACCAGGTGAATGCTGAAAATAATTCAAATACAGCATTTTTTTAAATGCCCATATAAATTGGATTGGTGTAGGGTTCAAACAATTGCCTTGCTGTAGGCGAAAGGAACCAATTAAATTTTCCAAGCCGTCCTGATTGAGCCTACCAGTGTATAAGACATAATCTTTGTTTTTTGATGCTTTTAATGATTTCCATATCATTTTTAAAGCCGCTATCGAGATTAACCATCCATTAATAAAGTTCATCCGCTTAGTTTCATCTGTACCATTATATTTATGAATTACTAGTAAGTTTTTAAAATCCCCTTCCATTTTATTTAAATGATTGATTTGGGCTTCTGTACCCTTAAACGGCCGATTGTATTCTTTTCTTTTAGGAATCTTGGAAGAATTGAATATATCAAATAACTTGTCCATATCACTTATGAAGTCTATCGTAAATTGGGCACAAGGCGGTAAAATACCAGCTACTAAAGCAATCGACATACCAGAAGCAACAGTTCCACTAAATACTTGTGTAGCCAAATAAACCCTCATTTTTTCAAAAGGCCCTGGGTATATATGAGCATACGTCAATTTTGGTGCTAATCGAAGATTACATTTGGAGTCATGATTGTAAAAAGAAATAAGATGGGCTTTATTAACAACATTATCATTAATTTTAAAATTATGTTTAAATAACATGTTACGGGTTGACTTAATCAAATGAGGAGGATCAAAAATGTAAACAATTGATTTTCCTTCTACATCAAAATAAGGCTTACTAGGGGAAACATAAAGGCTTTTTGAAAACTGCACAAAATTTGTGCCTTGGTCCGTAATAAATGCTTTAATATTCAGATTAATGTTTTGCAGGCGACAAATTGTTGACAAAATTATGTCCTTTAAATCAATTCCTGTACAGCTACTAGACACAAGAAAATAAGCAACTGGTTGTTTCCAGTCATAATTTAGACTTCTGATCATAAGGACCAGAGCATACTTAGCAGGTTCATATTTTCTACGGTTAGAAGATTCATGGAAACCAACTATTTTATCTTTGTTAACCCTGTAAAACAGATTAGTTTTTAAAGCCATTTCGTCAGCACACAAAACACAATCAAGCCAATCTGATTTAAAATTACTGATTTTAAGCGAAAGGAAATTAAATAGAAAATCATTAAAACCAGGATTGATTTCATATTTACCAGTGATTCTTCTCAAAGTCCGACTAACCGGAAGGGACAAAGATTTTTGCATCATTCTATAAAGCTTAGGACTTACAAAATAAATATTTAAAGCAAGTTGCTTTATGTCATTAGAATACCTTTGTCCGCATTGTTTCCGCTGTTGATTTTCAAATTGAGACTTGACCAGCATAAACACTGTGGGAGAGCAATGTTTCTCACACACTTTAAGGGCCGTTTCAATAGAATATGTGTCAACCATCTGCCGATGAGAATCAATCACTGATTGTAGTTCTCTTCTCTTCTTTATTTCCTCATTTAGTTTCTTCCTAAGTGCGTTCTTCCGTGGAGTACGATGAGTTAATGATGATGGAGTTTGACATTCGGATGAACATGTTTCTATTGTAATTGATGATGAATCTGATAGAATTGAACAAACAGAAGATGCATCTGAAACAAGGTGCATACCAGGTGTTAAACAGGACGGTGAGCAATTATTTTCGTTGTCATTGTCATTAAAAACATAATTTTTATCAATATGTTCCTCTGCCACAACTTCAAATAATGTTGGTATTGCATCTGGCTTAAGACGGTTGTTCTGTTCATTACTAAACATCCTGCCTTCAAAATGTAATGAACATAGCCGATACTTTTTGTTCAAAGTTACTACATCAACATTATTTAAATGACATAATTGAACATTGTCCATCCAAACTGCACATCTTTAAATTAAAAAAAAATAATCAAATAATCAAATGTATGTTATATTAATTTACTCAAAAAATGTCTTACCTTGAAGGGTCCTTTGGAAAAGAAAAATGACTTATTAAATCCGGATCCAATTCAAAACTTTTGCAGTCTTTAATACAGCATTTACCTATTCTAAAGCGTTTATTTAGGAAGTCCATAGTCACTGGTTGTGTCGTAAAATTACAAGAATTTCAAAATATCTAATTAGGTATTAACCATAGAGTAATATAGAGGGGCCGTTCCATATCTCGCGTATACAATTTATTGAAGCGTAGTTGGTGTATAAAATGTAGATTGACCACTTCATATAAAAAAAATATTGTACAACATGTAGTACGATATATTGTATGGTTGTGATAATACGTTTTTGTGTCTTGTGATTACAGCCCAAAAAGTAATACTCGATGGATTACACTATTACAGACCAGGTGTAATTGTAATTTTAATGAGAAAAAGAAATCGATATCTAATTGAGAATAGTTATTACAGTTTCTACTTTCTTCATTTTTTTAAACTTGATTTAAAAAATGCCAAGTTGTATGATTTGTGGGAGATCAGATAATCAAACATCTAAAGCTGCCAACATTTCTTTTCACAGGTATACTTTTAAACCTAATTTTTAATTTTTAATACAGACTTTTACTCAAAATGTAGACCCTGATTCTGTGAACAATGTAATTGGCAGTACCTCCCAAGCAAAAAATACTTTAAGTTTTAACAGAAAATTAGTTAAGGTCAGTACTTTTGATTTGTTTAAACTTGGAATGGTACTTTGTGTTGTGTATAACTGATAAACATATTTTATAGTCTCATACTGTTAACTAACATGTTTGTTATGGTTATTTATAGTTCTTTCTTTCATTTAAATTATAATTTTTAGATTTCTGGAAGTAATTTAGATGTTGAAGGAGTGTCGCCATTGAATGAACCTACTACAAAAGATATTGAAACAATAGAAACCTCATTCATTGCGGCCAATGAGGTGCGATAGTTGTGTATAACTGATAAACATATTTTATAGTCTCATACTGTTAACTAACATGTTTGTTATGGTTATTTATAGTTCTTTTTTTCATTTAAATTATAATTTTTAGATTTCTGGAAGTAATTTAGAAGTTGAAGGAGTGTCGCCATTGAATGAACCTACTACAAAAGATAATGAAACAATAGAAACCTCATTCATTGCGGCCAGTGAGGTGCATAATGATGATACACCACATAGAATTTTCTTGAAACATGGTATTCGAAAGCTATCAAGTGATATCACCATTAAAAACAAAAAACTAAAAAGTCTTCAACAAGTTATTCGACGTCAAAGTAAAAAAATTGCCAATTTGACAGCAATTATTGAAGATCTCAAAAAACGAAATCTTATTGATGATGATATAAGTTTTACTCTTTTGGAATCATTTGGTAAGCATCAAGACCTTATAACGAATTGGGCAAAAAAAAATGTTGGCAAAACAGTTCCAAAAAAATATAGTCCTACAATTCGACAATTTGCATTGTCCTTACATTTTTGTTCTGCAAAAGCATATGAATATGTTAGAAGCCAATTTCATACTGTTTTGCCACACCCACGAACCCTTAGTAAGTGGTATAGGCATGTTAATGCCGAACCAGGGTTTACTGAGGAATCCTTGAAAGCTTTAACACTGAAAGTGAAACATTCTCCTCATACAATTTATGGCGCATTAATCATGGACGAAATGTCAATAAGGCAACATTTAGAATATGACGGGAATCAGTATTATGGCCGTATAGATATGGGAACGGAAATGAACAATGACAGTTTAGAAATGGCTAAGGAATGCTTTGTTTTTTTAGTAGTTAGTGTTAACGAAAATTGGAAAATACCAATTGGCTATTTTTTATCTAGTAGTTTAAAAAGTGCACAAAAAGTAGAACTTGTACAACACGCTTTGCATGTATTAGAAAGCACCGGCATAAAAATAATAAGCTTGACTTTTGATGGTTGCTCAACCAATATTACTGCAGCTAAACTTTTAGGTTGTAATTATGACATTGATACTTTAAATACATCTTTTGCATCTGAAAATAATTCAAAGATTGTAACAATGCTAGATCCTGCACATATTATTAAGCTAATAAGAAATGCTTTTGGTGAAAAGAAAATATTTTTAGATCACAAAGACAGAATAATTAATTTTCAATATGTACAAAAATTATGCTGTTTACAGGAAGAGGAGGGTTGCCATCTAGCCAATAAGTTAAGAAAACAGCATATATTCTATTTCAAACAAAAGATGAAGGTAAAACTAGCAACTCAACTTTTGAGCCAGTCAGTTGCAGACGCATTGAAATTTTGCAAAGATAACCTAAAAATTGAAGAATTTCTTCATGCAGATGCTACAATAGAATTTATTGAGATTTTCAACATTGGTTTTGATATATTAAATTCCAGGTCCATTAATTGCATTGGGTTTAAAAAAGCTATGTGTAAGGAAAATATAGAAGAAATTAAATTATTTACTAACAAAATTACATCCTACATAAAAAACCTCAAAATTCAAAACCAAAATGGAGATTTTATACCTGTTCTGCAATCCAACCGTAAAACGGGGTTTATTGGCTTTATTATATGCTTAAATAGCATATTAGAACTATATACAACATTAATAGAAACTGATAAGCTGGATCACATAAAAATCTATAAGTCAAGCCAAGATCATCTTGAACTTTTTTTCGGTAGTATTCGATCCCATGGTGGTTATAATAATAATCCTACGGTTAGACAATTCCGTTCTGCCTACCGAAAATTAGTAATACGAGCTAATGATGTACAAAATATTAACACCGGAAATTGTATACCTCTTGAAGACATAGACATTCTTCATTACTCAAGTGCTGATCCAGTCAATGTTTTAAATAACAGTTCCCATGGCTGTGTTTCTGATGCAGTGGATCAAGAAGAAAATTTAATGGACATAAATGATTTCATAATGGACCATGATTATATTGGTTGTAATAGTAATTATTCTTTTAGTAATTTTACAAAAGAAATTATAATTTATATAGCAGGGTTTGTCGTACATAAACTAACTAATACTCTTAAATGTGATATATGCAAAGATTCATTATGTTCAGTTGAAAGAGACTGTTTTTTAAACTCCCTTATTACCTTAAAAAATAAGGGAGGTAATAAAGGTGGCTTAATATATCCATCTGAAGATGTACTCAACATATGTTTCAAAACCGAAAACACTTTAAAACAATATGACTTTTCAAATAAAGCTATTAACAAATTAAAAATTCAGTCAGAAGTTCTTTATTATTTTATATACAATTCAAATATTTTTAAATCACTACAATCCCATAGCTGCGAATCCCGAAGTCCATTAACAGATCATGTAACTCTTTTAATAAAATCTATAACTTCAACATACATTAATTTAAAAATCAACTATAGTTTAAAAATGCTCAGCGAAAAACCTTCACTCAGAACATGGTACAACAAACTTACTATTTTTAAGGGTCAATAAATTTTAATAATTCTTATTATATTTGTAAATTTTAAATATTGTGTGAATAATATATAGTATTTAGTAACTTTAAAAGTTGTGGTCACCCATCCGGGAACTTTTAGAATTATTTTTAAAGGTCAATAAATTTTAATAATTCTTATTATATTTGTAAATTTTAAATATTTTGTGTATAATATAGTGTCATAAATCATAATATATAGTATTTAGTTATTTTAAAAGTTGTGGTCACCCATCCGAGAACTAGTAGCAGCGGGCGTTGCTTACTTTTAGTCGCATTGCGCGACTGGTAGCATCCAACGTGCCGCGACCAGCCACACATTTTATTTTATGTAAGTGGTTAACCTGTACATTATACACTAATTGCGCATCAATGTTCAGGCAGAACGGCCTCTCTATATTACTCTATGGTATTAACCGAGGACTTGTAGAGGTCTCGTGTTCACTTTTTAAGAAATATGAAAAGTGAATTGTTAAGTTTTTTACAAACCAGCCTTAAAAAAGCAGTTTGTTTACAAACAAATCCAAATAAAGCGGATGCTCAGAGTGGTCTTTTGCGACATAAACAGAAAATAAAAATAGTTTTATTACATGGCTACACTGGTGGCACTTTAGTTCTTATCATGGTTTTTGGAGAGTGTCCATTCTGATTTCATCTATTCTGTGGTTGTAGATTGTAGATAATAGAATATATATCGCCATATTACATCTCCGCGAATTGCATAGATAATCTATCTATGGCGAATTGGGTACTTGGGTACAGAAACGTGATAGTGAAACAGGAACGGCGTTGCCAGTGCGGCCAACAATAATGAAACATGGCCAACCGCCAGTCTTGGGCGGTGAGCGCCGGGCGTTATAGACCTATAGGTCTATGCCGGCCGCCGGGCGTATCATAATATCATAAATTGTTTTCACCTTTATTTTTTACCAGCAAGCCGGTTGCACCGTCTCACGTTACGCCCGATGCCGATTGGTCAAAATTTGATTTGACGGGAGTTTAACGGTTCCGAGTAGTCCAGACTCCCCGAGTTTCCGATAAATGACAATCCTCGTCCCTGCTGGCTACTTTTGTAGTATTGTCTATTATTTAATATTTATTACTTGATATTCAAATGTCAAATTTACACTCTTATTAGTCTTATTATTTATAGCGATATATTATCTATTCTTATTTCTTGAATATTTGAAATTAATTATTAATTATCACCATCGTATACCAGTATTATTATAGTATTATATACTAATACTGGTTGCGATTGTATTTAATATACCTACATTATATTTAGTTAGATTCTTACAGTTACTCTGATGTCTTGTTTGTGAATTTTTTTCAATGATTTAATATTCGTCTGAACACAATTTTCACACTTAAGTCTACCTACGCCAACGTAACGTAAAAAACGCAATTATTATAACTCAATGTGTGCTATACGCCTATACCTAATCATATTTATACTTCTATTTTGTAGGTAGCTCGTTCATTGTTGTAACATCTTACATCACAATATCACATTAGACACTTACTATGGCTACCAAAAAGTGAGTTTTTTACGGTTTTGAAACTGAAACTTATATTTATCTTTTTAATACTAGTGCTTATATCGTAGATACTAGGTATCTAAGCATGTATGATATTGCTTATGAGTTATATATGACTAACAGCCGAACAGGTTCCTCATTACGAAGTAAATATAATATTGTATTTTTTTCTTAACAATTTTTTATGTAACAACTACATCTGAATTCTCATGATTAATTTTAACGTGTACCTAACCTACTGCCTTCAAAATATAATCATAGGCAAACTGGATTTCAATATTCAATAATTTGTTACATGAAAGTACCTTACGTATTGTTAACTTTATAATATTCAATACATTTTTTCAATAAAATAATTAAACAGCAGAATTTATAGTTTATTGTTACTGTTAAGAGTTTATAAAGTTTATTTGTTGCTTACATAATTTATGGTTTTACAAAATTTAATCAATCTTTTGACTATAAACTTCATACAAAATACATAAATTCAAATGTATGTAGCCTGTATATTATATACACAATGATAATATACTCGTTATAATAATTAAAATTAAGTTTACCATGTATTTGCAATAATTAAAAATTTGAATGTGTTTCTTATAGCAGATCTCGAATCATAATGAAGGAAAACAGAATTCCATTAGGAAAGAAAAAAGAAAATATAGAAATCAAAAAAAGTAAGTTATACCTATTTGTTGCAAACACAAAATACAATTTTGTGTCTTGGCGCGGCTTGTTTTCTGCTATCAGTCGCGCAATGCGACTGAGAATAAGTAACGCCCGATGGTACTAGTTCCCAGATGGGTACCACCCAGGTTCTTAGTAGTAAAAACCATGCCACACATACACGTGTTTGGTGTAACAACACCTTACCATACCAACCACAGTTCATAATCCCCTACAATAGCCAATGTTCATAATTCCCCTGGATTAAGTTTAATAAAAAAAAAAAAAAAATTGTATTTAAATTTTACATATTATAGGAACCTACCTATTTATTAATATCTTTTGGGAACAATATATAAAAATAAAAGTTTCATTTACAAATATTTTATCTGAATATTGCCATAATTTACCAATGTTTATATAAATTTGTGCTTTTGATATAATTATATTATAATGTTAGAACTAAGATGTGAAAAATATTTTAAACAATTTAATGAGAAAATAATGGCAGGACACAGATAAATAGTACCTAAAAAATTTTAAAAGCATGTTGAAAATCTATAAAAGTTTATGTACAATAATTAATTTTGATGATGTAATTACAGTAACAAATGTGTAGACTGTAGGCAGTAGGTACCCAGTAGTGCCACTCAACAGGTTGATTTTGTAGGGCTAGAGAAGGTTCCTTGAAAAAGCTCGATATACGAGTTCAACATTTAAAATACCCAGTAATTTTCAAAAGCGCCAAGAAAAATTAAGAAAAAACGGGAATTTTGCACAAAATTGAATTTGGTTTTTGGTATAACTTTAAAACAAATGACCGTAGGTACATGACATTTTCACTGGTTGTTTATATTTGTATTTTCTATATACGATAACATTTTCAAAATATTTTGATTTATTTTATACTGTTTAGTTACATTTTCATTCTCCATTTTTTTTTAGTTTTTTTTCTAAAAATATCAATAAAATTTTATTTGTTGGTTAAAAATGCTTGAAAATTGAATAGAAGGCTCCTAGTATATTTTTTCAAAGGCAGATGAAAAATATTAAAAATCCTTAGTCACAAATTTTTTTTATAAGCATTTAAAGTCCAAAAATTGACAAAATATGGAAAAATCACGAACATTAGCAAATTATTTTGAGTTAAGAATTTGTAAAAATTATTCTTTTTAAATCTAAGATTTTAAAATGTAATACAAGATTCCTTGTAAGGCTATCTACCTTTAAAAAAAAAAATAATGTCCTTATGAAAGTCAAATTAAATTTTTATGAGCTTTTGAAATTCAAATTTTTACAATATTGGATATTCACTCGACTTCTTGTGTAGTGATTTTCTTATTTTGTTGTAATTCAAAAACGAATAACTGTAGATACATGAAAATTTCACTGAATGTTTATATTAGCATTTCCTATACACCATACAATTTTAAAAATATTTTGACTCGTTTTGAGCTGTTTACAGAAATTTTCAGTTTTTAATTTTTTTAGTTTTTTTTTCTATAGATATCAATAAAGTTTTATCTGTTGTAGATTTTAATTGTACTATTATATATCTATGATAGTATCACAGTTTGTTGTTGATGTATAACGCGTTATTAGTACCTAATGGATATTGTGATATGATTAATTTAGAATGTATTATAGCTCAATTTTTTTTTTAATACCATATCCCGTCTCCGCTTAGAATCGTTTTCTTATACAATGATATTATATCATTGAATTCAAATTTAATACCATCCATTTACAGCGACCCACTTGTAACCTACTTTACAGCAGAGCCTTTTTAATTTTATTTTGATAAAAAGAAAACACGTAGTTACAGTATTATAAGTCGCTGTGAAAATTAAAAAAATAAGTCAATTTTGAAATCTATTAACACATTAATATGTTAACATGTGCACAAAGGATAGAACCATTCAACAAAAAAGACATTTTTTAACATTTGACAAACATTTTTTATAAAAATGTATATTGAAGCATATATGTTAATTGATTATTGATACGCGCATGTGTGATACAACCTAGTTTTTTTTAAATGGTAATATCATTTTTTTTTATATATATTCGGATATAGTATTTTTTTCTAAACAATTTATGCATAAAAAGTTTTTTTCTAATTACAAAATTGGCATATGAAATTATACTATCTTAATAACTGGAAAATGTCAAAGTTTATTTACTATCTTATCTGTGTGCAAACAGGTATTTAATAATATTGGATATTAATAAGGAACAATAAGTTGAATTTAGTTTAAATTACGTCAAAAACAAATTACTCGTAAATATTAAATTTCATATGCCAATTTTGTAATTAAAAAAAACAATACTCTATCCTAATATGTAAAAAAAAATTGATGTTACAATTTAAAAAAAAGTAAGTTGTATCGCGCATACGCTTATCAAGTGTGAAAAGTTTGAAATTTATCTGAAAATGTGTATTTAATTACTATCTGTCATTCAGCAAAAACCCCATTTCAATACAATGTCATCGAACTGAAATATTTAGTGATACCTCTTAACTCTTATAATATAGTAGATAGTATATTTCACTATAACTAGAGCAACAATAATTTAAGTGATCTTATAATTAATCATTTTAGATGAGAAGTTGGTTGTTGATCATGTCATTTCAAAAACCAAGACATTGAAGACATCAAAAATATCTAAGAAAACAAATAAAAGCAATGAAAATAAACTTATTAACATTAATGTTGAACCTACAGATACATCGTTAACGATTCCAATTAAAAAACCAAGAATCATGCTAAGTACAATTAAAGAAATGAAAGAATATGAAGAAAAATCCAATACTAAAACCATATTGAATAAAATAAAGGTTGTAAAAGATGATACTCCAACATTGATTGAAAAAGAAAATAATTTACAAGGAGATATTGATAATATAGACAATTTCAATAACACAATTGACGAAATGAAACTGGTAGTCCCTGAAATTGTACTGAGTCCTTTCGTTTGTACAACACGTGGCCAAAAGTGGAAACCAAGTCCTCGCAAACCTCCAAAATTATCTGACCTCTATGATCAATATGAAGATAACACTATTGCTGATAATTATAGGTATGCATATTTGCTTAAAATACCTTTTATAGTTGTATGTATGAATTGTTGAAAAATTTTATGAAAATAATGTTTACACATTTAGTTGTGTATTTTTAGTTTAATAAGTAGGTATTAAATATTAATGTATTAATGTTATAGGAAAAAATTGGACAGAAAAACTATTGAACTACAAAATAAAGTTAAATATTGGGCAGAATTATCTTCTGAAAAAGGCAGTGAAGTTCCACAAGTAAATTATAGTTGAAATACAATTGTTTTATCAACATTTATACAGTGTGATTCACCAAGTGTGCTCACTCCCATTTTTTCCTTTAATAATGAATTTATATAATTATATAACAATAATTCAAACGTAATTTTTAAAAAATACTTACCCAAAGTCAATTATTTCAAATTCTTGAATTTTTTTTTGTATTCCTTAAGGAGGGCCCTGTGGCAATACAAACTTCTTGTTTTAAAATAAGAAGCCTCCTTTTTTACTGTAAATTATTTAGTGGATAACCGATAGATTAATACTAATAATACTTATGAATACAATTTTCAAATCATTATAGGCCCCATATCTTATAAATCCATTACCATGGACCTATTATCATTAGAACACTAAGTTAAATAACTAAAAAACTACGTTGAACAAATTTTGATTCTAGTACATCATATTTTTCGGAAAAATTATTCTCTGAATAATTTACTGTTGAAAAGTGGTGTTCTTATTTGAAAAACAGAAGTTTGTATCTTCACAGGAGTACAAGACACACTTTAAGAAATACAAAAAAATCTCAAACATTTTATAATAAGGTCTATATTTAAAAATATCAAAAATCATAATTTAAGTAACTGCATTATCAAAGAAAAAAGGGAGATGGTATGCTTGGTGAATCACACTGTATATTGACCAATTAACTTACTAACTACTAAGTATCTATTAGATAAATACTATTTTAGAATATTTGTACAAATCAAATAAATATGTTTTGAAAGTTGATCAAAATTCAAGTAGTTAAAATATCAACTTATAGTTAATATGAAATAAGTTAAAACTATTAATATTAAAATTGTATTAATATCTTGTTTTAGTCTGTCAAAGATGAAATAGATGTTGCTTGTGGACAAACAAAACTTTTGACAACTGATAAATTTATGCAAATGCGTACTCTGATAAATGAATATGATAATAAGTCTGGTCAAATGCTCATAACCACAAACGATTTAGATGGCTTTTGGGATATGCTATTGTTACAAGTAATTACTATTATGTTATAATGAAATTTATACTAAACAATAAACATTGTAAAATATAATTTAGGTTGAAAAATTAGAAGGTCAATTTAGTCAACTTGACATATTGGAAAAAAATAATTGGGCTCCATTAAAGCCAATTGCTAAAAAGGTAATTAATAGACTACCAACAGTAAATAAACGTCCAGTGGTAAAATCAAAATTTGCAGATTTTATTAAAAGTAAGTTAGGATTATTTTAAGTTTGGTTTTTTTTTAGAAATATATATGTAGCTTTTTTATTTTTATGTATTGACAATACCTAATACATATTTATTTATAATTTAACAGACCAAAAGTCTAAGGAAAAGAAAGCTACACCTAACAGTACAAACTCTAATGAAAAAAATGATTCGAATAACTCAAAGTTCAATGAAATGAAACTGTCTAATAACACTTATCGTGAGTTTTTGATTATTTGTTTTTTTTCATCTAGTAATAAACTACTATCGTTTTATCTATTGGTTATTCAAATTAAACTATGTTAAATATTTGTTAGATCTGTTGTCAATTATAAATGGACATCTTATTTCTTTTACTACAAATAGAACGAATATTTTCTTTGATATAAATGTTTGAAGTATTCTAATATGTATCTACAATTTATATTTATAGTTACTTCAAGTACTCCAACTACTTCAAATCAAAAAAATACAAGTTTCACCCCAGTACTGTTGAAGACCATAGAATTATCATATGTGGCTCGCAGGTCAGGTATGACTCCAATGGTACTAGTTACACCACATGTATCCCCATTAAAACCGGCACTGAAAAATCCAGAAAATGTGAAAGGGACAAAGCGCAAAAACATACAATTTGAATCTCCTAAAAAAATTGTTGATGAATTTGTGACACCTGAAAACTCGTGCAATGGTAAATATTAAATATCATTAGACATGAATTGTATTATTTTTAATTATTCTGTAGAGTATGTTTTGTACGATACTGATATTTTTATTATGTACACATTTTTAGATGATACAAGCCATAAAACCATTAAAAACAGAGTTGTCACCCCTCACGCTTTAAAAACAACTAAGGTAAACCAGAACAAGGTTATCAGATCTCAGAACAATCCCATTAGTTCATCAACCACTAACCACACTGGTAATAAAATTAACTTAAAAAGAACTATCAAAGCACAGACAGAAAAGAAGGAGACAATAAATAAAAAGTTTGTTGATGAGCAGGATGGCAAATCGTCTATAAGGCGTTCTTCTAGATTGGCCAACAAACCTTCAAAAAATTACAAATGTTAATATGAATTTTATGATTTTTGTATAAATTTTTTTTTTTTTTTATTAGTTAACAAAATGTTTAAATTTAAAACATATCATCAACAAGTAAACCTAGATATCAAGATTCTCGACAAAGATGAAAACGATTAACTTGTCTTGTAATTTATTCAAATGTTTTATTCTGATTTTTTTTTAAATTATCATTAAACGTTTATTTATTTTTAAACAAATGTTTGATTATAAAATGTTTATATTATTTATTATTTTACTTAAAATATACTTGTTCTCATGGGTTTCTTGACATAATATTCTTGTACATATTCTGATGTTTTAACATTTCCAAATAAACCCCGTACTTTCTTTTATGATACCTGTAAATATATTAAACGTTCATATTATTATGTAATTTTAATAATTGTATTCAACATTTTATTTGTGCCATAATAAAAATGCAATGTTGAATTTCCAGTTATATATCTCAAGGATGCCTAGATAATTATATGGCTAATTTATATAAATTATTGGTAGATAGTTAACCAGGTGGATAGTTATTGGTGGATAGTTAACTTTTTTTTCCATATTCAACTCTTATGGAAATTTGATTCCCCGCTTCTCTCGGTGATCTATTGGTATCACACATATTGGTTACAACAAACTTCCAATTTAAAAATACAACTGTTAATTGTTAATTAAATCATTTAATTTAAATGTTAACTTTTCAACTATACTTGTAAAATGATTGTATATTCAATCAACAAAACTAACAGTTTAATCCCCATTTCACTAGAACTTTAGAAGTGTCTACAACTCTTAGGTATCAGATATGGTTAACACGTTTGTGTGTATAGTCCATAGAGTAATTTATTACTTTGTGGTATAGGCATATAAGCAAAAGCTATGTATGTATCAATACTAAATACTAATAATAAAATAGGTGTGTAATAATCAGGGTCGTTAATGTTTCTTTTATTAGGAATCCATTCATTTCCTCATTCCTTTAATTTATATTTGAATTCGTTCAGTTCCTCGTTCATTTAATATCATGAACTATGATTAATAAGACTGAGCACTTATGAGATAGTGAACTTATGAACTGTCACCAAGTTCCTTATATCGGTTCTAGCGGTCAAACGAACATGAAGATTGGCGCTAGCACAACTATTTATACACAATTTTTATGAAGTTAAAAAAAAATATATGGTCATATAATAATTTTTTATTATAAAATATAAAGATTGTTAATATTTCATAATCGTTACTAGTTCAGTAAGTTTTTATTTTCCAACTTCTTTTAGGAGGTTCCAAATATTTAAAATAACTACTGACGCATATGCATAGTTAAGTAGTATACAAGTATACTAGTATGAATAAATATCTGACATGACTTCAATTTTATGTTCAGTTCAAGGAAAAGAAATAGAAGTTTTTAAAACATCATTGACTGTAAATTAAATACATCTACATCTTAAGTTTTCATGTATCTACAGTTATTCATTTTTGAATTACAACAAAATAAGGAAATCGCTACATGAGAAATCGAGTGAATATCCAATGTTGCAAACATTTGAATTTCAAACGCTCATAAAAATTTAATTTGATTTTCTTATAGACATTTTTTTTTTTTTGGTAAAGGTAGATAATCTTATAAGGAATCTTGTATTACATTTTAAAATCTTAAATATAAAAAGAAAAATTTTTACGAATTCTTAACTCAAAATAATTTGCTAATTTTCGTGATTTTTCCATATTTTGTCAATTTTTGAACTTTAAATGCTTATAAAAAAAACTGTGACTAAGGATTTTGAATATTTTTTTTTGAAACAATATACTAGGAGCCTTCTATTAAATTTTCAAGCTTTTTTAACCAACAAATAAAATTTTATTGATATTTTTAGAAAAAAAAAAAAAAAAATATAAACTGAAAATGTCTGTAAAGAGCTTAAAATAAGTCGAAATATTTGGAAAATTTTATGGTGTATAACAAATGCTAAAATAAACATTCAGTCAAAATTGCATGTACCTACAGTAATTTGTTTAAGAGTTCCACCAAAAACCAATATCGATTTTCTCGAAAACAGATTTTGCGTAAAAATTCCAATTTTTCTTTTTGCTTTTGAAAACTATTGGGAAATTTTTACTTTACTTACCCCACAAAGTACCAACTAGATTCACTTTACTATCAGAAAAGATACTGTTGATGAAAATCCAAGCACTTTTATTGTCCTAAGACGTGATGACAGACAAAAAAATAAAATAAAAAAAAAACACACATCATTGTAAAATCAATACCTACATTCATCGTTCCACTCAGAATCTAAAATGCATACTCAAAATATATAATATAGGTAGCTAGTATAATAAAACCAGAAATTTATTTTATGGGTACCCTTCTTCACAATGTTTGTGTTATAACTTATAATTGTATCAATTATAATATTGTGGGAACACAAAACCACATCAAACATTCTTGGAAATTAAACATTAGTAGGTACAATACATTTTTTTTTTAATACTGAAAAAATATTAAATATATATAATTTAAAAACACTTAGGTGTATCGGCTCTTATATTTATTGTTGGTAGGCCAAAGAGGGAGTTTTAAAAAAAAGTTGATGCAAATGTACACCCTTCACCCCCTCACACCAAATGACGTCCCTGCTCCATGCAGTAGCCCCCCACCCAGAACAACACCTCTGTGGCTCTGTAGCAACATGCCACGAGACTACGAAAGCAATGGTTTTTGAAATATTATGAAGCCATGAAGGCACTGTTCGTATTCATCCCGGTTAAACGCTCATTCCCTCACACACACACACTATACACCCACATAATTTTCTTACACATGTAACATATGTTACTGTAGTCTGATAAAGTAAAATATTATAAGAAAAAAAATTAGTTAATGTACTCGTCTGTCGAACTATAGTGGTGTTTCAGTGTTTGATTTAATCGATTTTATATTTTTATGTGTCTATACGTAATTTGGGCATAGTAAATATTTTAGACTTTTTAATAAATGTATTTATTATAGCAACACGTTACCTATAGATACCTACCTATTTTAATTTGTGATCTCTCAGCAGTGGCCACTTGTTATATATTATTTAAATTTGGTCTATAGGGTTATTATCCTCTCGAAATTTGAGATCAGAGAAACGCTCTATGAGTTTCATATGTAGCATCTTTCATCTTTGTAGATTAGAAAATTTAACTTAGAGTGGGTATATATAGGTACCTACTTAAAGAATGACATTGTTCAAGTTGTGTGTTTAACGATTTTTCTCAAAATTTCTTCAAAATTCGAGTTTTACCCCTCTAACGGGCCTCTAGCGGCTCGGCTCGGACCTTATTCACTTTCCCCATTAAATTTATAGGCCGCGCGCTGCCGCACTTTGTTCGCGACGAGTCCCTTGGTGGAGCGGAAATCTGACGGCGGGCGGTCGCGTCGTTATTACTATATACAGGCATGAATATACGTCGAAAAGTTCGATTTTTAGATTCTGAGCGGAGCGATGAATGTATTGGTTTTACAATGATGTGTGTTTTAGATTCTGAGCGGAGCGATGAATGTATTGGTTTTACAATGATGTATGTTTTTATATTTTAGATTCTGAGCGGAGCGATGAATGTATTGGTTTTACAATGATGTATGTTTTTATATTTTTATATTTTTATATTTTTATTTATATTTTTGTGTCTGTCATCACGTTTTAGGACAGTAAAAGTGCTTGGATTTTCTTCATCAGTAGCTTTTCTGATAGGAAAGTGAATCTAGTTGGTACTTTGGGGGGTCAAAAGTATAAATTTCCCAGTAGTTTTCACAAGCGCCGGGAAAAAACAACATAAAAATTAAGGAAAAACGAGAATTTTTACGCAAAATTGGTTTTCCAAAAAATCGATTTTGGTTATTGGTGTAACTCTAAAACAAATGAACGTATATACATGAAATTTTCACTGGTTGTTTATATTTGCATTTTCTATACACGATAACATTTTCAAAATATTTTGATTTATTTTGAACTGTTTAGGGACATTTTCATTTTCCATTTTTTTTTAGTTTTTTTCTAATAATATCAATAAAATTTTATTTGTTGGTTGCGAAAGCTTGAAAATTTAATAGAAGGCTCCTAATATGTTGTTTCAAAGGCAGATGAAAAATATTAAAAATCCTTAGTCACAATTTTTTTTTATAAGCATTTAAAGTTCAAAAATTTACAAAATATGGAAAATCACGAAAATTAGCAAATTATTTTGAGTTAAGAATTCGTAAAAATTTTCTTTTTAAATCTAAGATTTGAAAATGTAATATAAGATTACTCATAAGTTTGTCTACCTTTATCAATAAAAAAATCTATACCGGAATGTCAAATTAAATTTTTATGAGCGTTTGAAATTCAAATTTTTACAACATTGGATGTTCACTCGATTTCTCATGTAGCGATTTCCTTATTTTGTTGTAATTCAAAAACGAATAACTGTAGATACATGAAAATTTCACTGAATGTTTATATTAGCATTTCCTATACACCATACAATTTTGAAAATATTTTGACTCTTTTTGAGCTGTTTATGGACATTTACAGCTTTCAATTTTTTTTAGTTTTTTTTTCTATAAATATCAATAAAGTTTTATCTGTTGGGCCAAAAAGTGTAAAAATTTAATACAAGGCTCCTGATATATTGTTACAATATCAGTTGAAAAATATTAAAAATACATAGGCACGATTTTTTTTTTATAAGCATTTAAAGTTGAAATTTTGACAAAATTTATCAAAATCTCGAAAATTATCAATCGTTGGAATTAAAAAATTATAAAATGTTCAGTTTTTATAACTAAGAGTTGAAAATTTAAAACAAAGATTCTCTTAAATAATTCATACTGTAACCAAAAAATCTAAAAAATATATAAACACACTTATTTTTTACAGACATTTTAATTTCAAATTTAGATAAAATTTCATATTTAAACCAAGAATTACGATTTTAGTTATTTTGTTGTGATTGAATAATATTATTCGTGGGTACTTGAAACTTCTAAAGTGTACTATTATATATCTATGATAGTATCACGGTTTTTGTTGATGTTTAACGCGTTATAAGTATCTAATGGATATTGTGATATGATTAGTTTGGAATTTATTATAGGTACCTATTATAGGTCAATTTTTGTTTAATACCATAGATATGTATATAATATGTCTTATACATAGACTGACATACCGTCACCGCTCAGAATCGTTTTTCTTATACAATGATATTATATCATTGAATTCAAATTTAATACCATCCAGTATACAGTGACCCACTTGTAACCTACTGTACAGCAGAGCGACACCCACTTGCCCACCTTTTTATATTTTATTTATATTTT